ATTTCGAGCCAGCTCGAAGATCGAAATTCAAAATTTTCTAAAATTGAATTTCGAGCTGGAGTTGAATTTCGAGCCAGCTCGAAGATCGAAATTCAAAATTTTCAAAAGTTGAATTTCGAGCTGGAGTTGAATTTCGAGCCAGCTCGAAGATCGAAATTCAAAATTTTCAAAAGTTGAATTTCGAGCTGGAGTTGAATTTCGAGCCAGCTCGAAGATCGAAATGCAAAATTTGCAAAAGTTGAATTTCGAGCTGGAGTTGAATTTCGTGCCAGCTCGAAGATCGAAATTCAAAATTTTCAAAAGTTGAATTTCGAGCTGGAGTTGAATTTCGAGCCAGCTCGAAGATCGAAATTCAAAATTTTTAAAAGTTGAATTTCGAGCTGGAGTTGAATTTCGAGCCAGCTCGAAGATCGAAATTCAAAATTTTCTAAATTTGAATTTCGAGCTGGAGTTGAATTTCGAGCCAGCTCGAAGATCGAAATTTTTCAAAAGTTGAATTTCGAGCTGGAGTTGAATTTCGAGCCAGCTCGAAGATCGAAATTCAAAATTTTCAAAATTGAATTTCGAGCTGGAGTTGAATTTCGAGCCAGCTCGAAGATCGAAATTCAAAATTTTCAAAAGTTGAATTTCGAGCTGGAGTTGAATTTCGAGCCAGCTCGAAGATCGAAATTCAAAAATTTTCAAAAGTTGAATTTCGAGCTGGAGTTGAATTTCCAGCCAGCTCGAAGATCGAAATTCAAAATTTGCAAAAGTTGAATTTCGAGCTAGAGTTGAATTTCCAGCCAGCTCGAAGATCGAAATTCAAAATTTTTCAAAAGTTGAATTTCGAGCTGGAGTTGAATTTCGAGCCAGCTCGAAGATCGAAATTCAAAATTTTCAAAATTTGAATTTCGAGCTGGAGTTGAATTTCGAGCCAGCTCGAAGATCGAAATTTTCAAAAGTTGAATTTCGAGCTGGAGTTGAATTTCGAGCCAGCTCGAAGATCGAAATTCAAAATTTTCTAAATTTGAATTTCGAGCTGGAGTTGAATTTCGAGCCAGCTCGAAGATCGAAATTCAAAATTTTCAAAATTTGAATTTCGAGCTGGAGTTGAATTTCGAGCCAGCTCGAAGATCGAAATTCAAAATTTTTCAAAAGTTGAATTTCGAGCTGGAGTTGAATTTCGAGCCAGCTCGAAGATCGAAATTCAAAATTTTTAAAAGTTGAATTTCGAGCTGGAGTTGAATTTCGAGCCAGCTCGAAGATCGAAATGCAAAATTTGCAAAAGTTGAATTTCGAGCTGGAGTTGAATTTCGTGCCAGCTCGAAGATCGAAATTCAAAATTTTCAAAAGTTGAATTTCGAGCTGGAGTTGAATTTCGAGCCAGCTCGAAGATCGAAATTCAAAATTTGCAAAAGTTGAATTTCGAGCTGGAGTTGAATTTCGAGCCAGCTCGAAGATCGAAATTCAAAATTTGCAAAAGTTGAATTTCGAGCTGGAGTTGAATTTCGAGCCAGCTCGAAGATCGAAATTCAAAATTTGCAAAAGTTGAATTTCGAGCTGGAGTTGAATTTCGAGCCAGCTCGAAGATAGGAAATTCAAAATTTTCAAAAGTTGAATTTCGAGCTGGAGTTGAATTTCGAGCCAGCTCGAAGATCGAAATTCAAAATTTTCAAAAGTTGAATTTCGAGCTGGAGTTGAATTTCGAGCCAGCTCGAAGATCGAAATTCAAAATTTTCTAAATTTGAATTTCGAGCTGGAGTTGAATTTCGAGCCAGCTCGAACATCGAAATTCAAAATTTTCAAAAGTTGAATTTCGAGCTGGAGTTGAATTTCGAGCCAGCTCGAAGATCGAAATTCAAAATTTTCAAAAGTAGAATTTCGAGCTGGAGTTGAATTTCGAGCCAGCTCGAAGATCGAAATTCAAAATTTTCTAAATTTGAATTTCGAGCTGGAGTTGAATTTCGAGCCAGCTTGAAGATCGAAATTCAAAATTTTCAAAAGATGAATTTCGAGCTGGAGTTGAATTTCGAGCCAGCTCGAAGATCGAAATTCAAAATTTTCAAAAGTTGAATTTCGAGCTGGAGTTGAATTTCGAGCCAGCTCGAAGATCGAAATTCAAAATTTTCAAAAAGTTGAATTTCGAGCTGGAGTTGAATTTCCAGCCAGCTCGAAGATCGAAATTCAAAATTTGCAAAAGTTGAATTTCGAGCTAGAGTTGAATTTCCAGCCAGCTCGAAGATCGAAATTCAAAATTTTTAAAAGTTGAATTTCGAGCTGGAGTTGAATTTCGAGCCAGCTCGAAGATCGAATTTCAAAATTTTCTAAATTTGAATTTCGAGCTGGAGTTGAATTGCGAGCCAGCTCGAAGATCGAAATTTGCAAAAGTTGAATTTCGAGCTGGAGTTGAATTTCGAGCCAGCTCGAAGATCGAAATTCAAAATTTTCTAAATTTGAATTTCGAGCTGGAGTTGAATTTCGAGCCAGCTCGAAGATCGAAATTCAAAATTTTCAAAAGTTGAATTTCGAGCTGGAGTTGAATTTCGAGCCAGCTCGAACATCGAAATTCAAAATTTTCAAAAGTTGAATTTCGAGCTGGAGTTGAATTTCGAGCCAGCTCGAAGATCGAAATGCAAAATTTGCAAAAGTTGAATTTCGAGCTGGAGTTGAATTTCGTGCCAGCTCGAAGATCGAAATTCAAAATTTTCAAAAGTTGAATTTCGAGCTGGAGTTGAATTTCGAGCCAGCTCGAACATCGAAATTCAAAATTTGCAAAAGTTGAATTTCGAGCTGGAGTTGAATTTCGAGCCAGCTCGAACATCGAAATTCAAAAATTTTCAAAAGTTGAATTTCGAGCTGGAGTTGAATTTCGAGCCAGCTCGAAGATCGAAATGCAAAATTTGCAAAAGTTGAATTTCGAGCTGGAGTTGAATTTCGTGCCAGCTCGAAGATCGAAATTCAAAATTTTCAAAAGTTGAATTTCGAGCTGGAGTTGAATTTCGAGCCAGCTCGAACATCGAAATTCAAAATTTGCAAAAGTTGAATTTCGAGCTGGAGTTGAATTTCGAGCCAGCTCGAAGATCGAAATTCAAAATTTGCAAAAGTTGAATTTCGAGCTGGAGTTGAATTTCGAGCCAGCTCGATGATCGAAATTCAAAATTTGCAAAAGTTGAATTTCGAGCTGGAATTGAATTTTGAGCCAGCTCGAAGATCGAAATTCAAAATTTTCAAAAGTTGAATTTCGAGCTGGAGTTGAATTTCGAGCCAGCTCGAAGATCGAAATTCAAAATTTTGAAAAGTTGAATTTCGAGCTGGAGTTGAATTTCGAGCCAGCTCGTAGATCGAAATTCAAAATTTTCTAAATTTGAATTTCGAGCTGGAGTTGAATTTCGAGCCAGCTCGAAGATCGAAATTCAAAATTTTCAAAAGTTGAATTTCGAGCTGGAGTTGAATTTCGAGCCAGCTCGAAGATCGAAATTCAAAATTTTCTAAATTTGAATTTCGAGCTGGAGTTGAATTTCGAGCCAGCTTGAAGATCGAAATTCAAAATTTTCAAAAGTTGAATTTCGAGCTGCAGTTGAATTTCGAGCCAGCTCGAAGATCGAAATTCAAAATTTTCAAAAGTTGAATTTTAAGCTGGAGTTGAATTTCGAGCCAGCTCGAAGATCGAAATTCAAAATATTCAAAAGTTGAATTTCGAGCTGGAGTTGAATTTCGAGCCAGCTCGAAGATCGAAATTCAAAATTTTCTAAATTTGAATTTCGAGCTGGAGTTGAATTTCGAGCCAGCTCGAACATCGAAATTCAAAATTTTCAAAAGTTGAATTTCGAGCTGGAGTTGAATTTCGAGCCAGCTCGAAGATCGAAATTCAAAATTTTCAAAAGTTGAATTTCGAGCTGGAGTTGAATTTCGAGCCAGCTTGAAGATCGAAATTCAAAATTTGCAAAAGTTGAATTTCGAGCTGGAGTTGAATTTCGAGCCGGCTCGAAGATCGAAATTCAAAATTTGCAAAAGTTGAATTTCGAGCTGGAGTTGAATTTCGAGCCGGCTCGAAGATCGAAATTCAAAATTTTCAAAAGTTGAATTTCGAGCTGGAGTTGAATTTCGAGCCGGCTCGAAGATCGAAATTCAAAATTTTTCAAAAGTTGAATTTCGAGCTGGAGTTGAATTTCGAGCCAGCTCGAAGATCGAAATTCAAAATTTTCAAAAGTTGAATTTCGAGCTGGAGTTGAATTTCGAGCCAGCTCGATGATCGAAATTCAAAATTTTCAAAAGTTGAATTTCGAGCTGGAGTTGAATTTCGAGCCAGCTCGAAGATCGAAATTCAAAATTTGCAAAAGTTGAATTTCGAGCTGGAGTTGAATTTCGAGCCAGCTCGAAGATCGAAATTCAAAATTTTCTAAATTTGAATTTCGAGCTGGAGTTGAATTTCGAGCCAGCTCGAACATCGAAATTCAAAATTTTCAAAAGTTGAATTTCGAGCTGCAGTTGAATTTCGAGCCAGCTCGAAGATCGAAATTCAAAATTTTCAAAAGTTGAATTTCGAGCTGGAGTTGAATTTCGAGCCGGCTCGAAGATCGAAATTCAAAATTTGCAAAAGTTGAATTTCGAGCTGGAGTTGAATTTCGAGCCGGCTCGAAGATCGAAATTCAAAATTTTCAAAAGTTGAATTTCGAGCTGGAGTTGAATTTCGAGCCGGCTCGAAGATCGAAATTCAAAATTTTCAAAAGTTGAATTTCGAGCTGGAGTTGAATTTCGAGCCAGCTCGAAGATCGAAATTCAAAATTTTCAAAAGTTGAATTTCGAGCTGGAGTTGAATTTCGAGCCAGCTCGATGATCGAAATTCAAAATTTTCAAAAGTTGAATTTCGAGCTGGAGTTGAATTTCGAGCCAGCTCGAAGATCGAAATTCAAAATTTGCAAAAGTTGAATTTCGAGCTGGAGTTGAATTTCGAGCCAGCTCGAAGATCGAAATTCAAAATTTGCAAAAGTTGAATTTCGAGCTGGAGTTGAATTTCGAGCCAGTCAGTGTATGTCAAACTAAGGCTGTGGTTGCTGGGCATCGTAGTTGATGTACTATTACATGTGAATGTTGCATTCTCTCCCACAAATGGTATTTGCTTCAAAATTATATTTGGCTTTGTAGGGATTCCTATAAATGAAAATAATTATTGTTTATATATACAGTTATGCCTTGTACAGTCTATAATCGTGCCCCCACCTTGTGTGGTTGGGTCGGAGGTAGATTAGCCCAGCATACTAGTATTGTGGCTTTAGGGCTTTTTATTATAACGACGATGGTCGCCCTTCGCGCACAACCCACTTACGATTCAAAACAATGCGGAAAGTTTCCTTCTATGTCTATGTGCCAGCGACCAGAATCTCGTCGCTAACCTGAATTATTTTGCCAGCGACCAGAATCTCGTCGCTAACCTGAATTATTTTAAAGCTAAAATAACTAATTATTTAGTGTAGACCGTGACTTTGGTGAACTGATTTCTGATTATTGTCGCGCCATTTTTGTACTACTAGTCATTCGAGCCTTTGAAGTCTGTCATTTTTAAGAAAATTAAAAATCGAGTTCGAATATTTGGGCGTATTTCGTCCGCCATTTTTATTTATTGGTTAAGGAAAGATATTTGAATAATATCTTTTTACAAGTATTCACCTTTGGTGACTTATTTGCAATTAAGTATATAATTTGTCATTTCTGACGAATTTTTGGTGACATTTGGTTTAATTGTTCTTCTTGACGAATTTTTGACTTCATTTAATCGTCAAATACATTTTTTTTTGTTTTGTGTCTGTTAATTTTCTCATGATGTCTGGCAGAAATAAGAAATCGTTGATTTCTTCCGATTTCGCGCTAACCAATCGTTACTTTACCTTATATTCAGTGCGGTAATGTATGAAATGGTTACTTTCTGGAACGAAGCTGTCAATCATATTTTTTTCCGGCCGAAAGCCGTCTGATTTCAACTTGACTTCTGCTAAAATTAACAGTAAAGAAATGAATATAGGCAGAATTTTCATTGGTCATTTTAACACTAATAGCCTGTTTGATTGATACTTAAGAAGAGCTTCCGTTATAGATAGAGTTCCATTGCGCGATGGCAAGAAGTGTTGGAAAAAGATATAAGTCAGAATAAATAAAAAAAACACCATTATGATATTTTCTAGATGTTTTAACAGATTTTCAATAAATTTATAAAATTAAATATGACAGATCGCCTTTTTGATACGTTTGCGTTCGATTGGGTTTCTCTTCTAAGCTGTTCTAATCATTATATTCTCTTCTCGAACCGGGCAAAAGACGATTGAAACAAACTTTCGACTAATTTACAGTTGCAAAATTCTCCGTGGAATTAGTGTACAATATCTACTAAATCTGTGTCTTCTTGTAAATTCCTATTCAAATCAAATTCCATTTTGATTAAAATCAAAGAATGTAAGTAAAATTGTTTAAATCTAAGATGAAAAAACATTGCGGGTAAAATTGAACTGAAATAAAACTATTTATGACGAATATAATGTTCTGTTTGCGGTAATCATGGTAAGTAGTAGCTTATCCTATGCAGGCTAACAAGTTTGACTTCGGTCGAGTATCTTTTAAAGATACTCCTTGTTATAGCTTTATGGCGTGAACTACGGTGGCACAAAGGTGAAATGTGTGTGTTTTCTTTTATCTCGTGCGCACGAGATACTATGTCGGGGCCACGAGTTACTAAGTCGTGGTAACGAGATAGCTAAGTCGTGGCCACGAGATACTATGTCGTGGCCACGAGTTACTAAGTCGTGGCCACGAGATAGCTAAGTCGTGGTCACGGGATACTATGTCGTGGCTACGAATTACTATGTCGTGGTCACGAGATAGCTAAGTCGTGGCCACGAGATACCATGTCGTGGCCACGAGATACTATGTCTTGACCACGATTTTCTAAGTCATGAGATAAATAATCAATAGCATTACACCATTTATATGAATTTCCATAGATACGTGCCATAGTACAATGATGCTCCTACTTCACCAGCCTGTAAAAGTGTCATTTATTTAACTTATTGACTGGACAATAATTTAACATTTAGTGTCACTGTGACCCTGATTTTTTACTCAATGACCTCAAAATTATTAGATGTCATCTACTGATCAGGTGCAATATTCTTTCTAGGTTATATAAACCATGGCTTATCCCTTCTTAATTATATATCAGACAAGGATTTTACATGAAGTGTCATGGTTACCTTGACACTTTACTTCAAACATCCTTATATGCTATCTACTGTCCATGGGCAATGTCTCTTCCAAACAAAATAAACCAGGACTTATTCCTTCTCATGTTATCGTATAAACAATATTAACAGGCCGTAGTACTTACAAACTGACCAATTCGATCACCAAAACAAAGGGCTTTAGTCAAAAATAATGTCTGATGAGTCTTGGAAGGTAACTTTCATATATGATCTTAAAGACAAGTTCAAAGTGAATATCTTCAGTATTTTCAAAGATTAAAGTTGCGTGTAAAAGTAAGTTGTTAAGCTAAAAAAAATCATAAAATATATAGTGTATTCTAAATTGGTAAATTATCTCGAGCGCACGACTAAGTTATTTCGTTCCCACGACTTAGTAACTCGTGGCCACGACTTAGCTATCTCGTGGCCACGACTTAGTAACGCGTGGCCACGACATAGTATCTCGTGCCCAAGACTAAAGTATCTCGTGGCCACAACATAGTAACTAGTGGCCACGACATAGTATCTCGTGGCTGCAACTTAGCTATCTCGTGGCCACGACTTAGTAACTAGTGGCCACCACATAGTATCTTGTGCGCATGAGATAAATAAAAACACATGTCACCTTTGTGCCACCGTAGTGAACACCTGTGGGGCTATCCAAAATGTTCATAATTTCGAGCTTTCTGGAATTCAGAATTTCAGAATTATCTTAACAAGTAGAAACATTAAAAATTAATTATTTAAATAAGACATGATGAATATGATATATAACATGATAGAATGACAAAATTAAAGGATCTTTTTAACAGTAATAACTTTTATATTTAAATAAGCTGATAACTTTATCACATTTTTTACGGACAGAATTCAATTGTATTTCTTTGTATGTAAACTCCAATGTAGCATTCTTGGATTGAGTTTGCCGATTTTACATTGTAAACATATATTTCAAAACTAAATAAATATTCTGCTTTTGATTAGATAGACAGCAAGTCTAAGTAATAAAATAATAAAAGGCTAAATCACATTCTATGACTCAAGATACCTCCCAATGGAGGTAAACAGAGATGCTAGGATACACTGAATATTTATTTCAACATTAAAATTGAAAACATTTACAAGTTTTTGATAATACAACGGAATTATCGATATTAAACTTTGAATGGATCCGTGGTTATACACCTGGTAAAAAAATTGGGTTTTTCTACAACCCAATATAGTCCTTTAAAGAAAGAAGGCACAGGTTTACTGTTCAGTTCTTTTTATTCGTGTTGCCAAAAGTGACTTCCATGTATCGCATTCTAGTACTGTTAGAATTTGGGAATGACACCTACCAAAACATTTGAAAAAAATTCAGCAGACGAACACAGAAAAAAAAATTTACGATCATAAGTGGCATAAGAGATTTAGTGATGGACATTACTTTGACATTGACTGTGTAACGTTGAAGCACAAGTTGTATGTTAATATGACGTTGACGTCTATAACTTTTTGGAGTGCACCGCTGTCGTCAACATGTGTTTATGTAAAATTTAATATTGTTGTAATATAAGAAGCTAATAACATGACTTTTCCTGTGTTTTTTTTTGTTTTTTGTTACTAATTGTTCTAAGCGTTGTAGAAATTTAAAATCAATATCTTAAATATATTTTACGCAACAAAGAAAGTCCACGAATTTTTGGATAACCCCTCGTATATGTTTACATGCAACCCGATGCTGTTTGCTTCTTAAGCTGTACTGATTACGGAAGAAATCGCAAATTCCCTTTTTGTTGGAAAGGCACAGGACATTGTCAGATAAGTGAAGATCCACTGAGCTACGTGTACGACGGAAAATTCGCATGTTTTCTACATCTCGAGGTTATGTATACGGCAGAACGACTTGGAATGCATGAAGTTAGCTGTCGATGTCCTGACTTAGGTCGAGGGATTTGGGCCTAAAATATGATATAGTTGACGACGAAGGCTACAAGGGTGCGCAAGTCGGCTTGAAAGGCGGCGCTCTATGATGGCACAGCAGCTCTTTTCAAGAGCTACCTTATTCATTAATGTCAATGATAACTGTACGTTTATGTGCGCATTGACCACAGTATAGTGTCCGTCTTAAGGCCCAAACAGATTTCATTTGCAAATAATTCTTTAAAGGGACTCCACTGAGGTTTGAAAGCCTAAAAACATAACATTGAATTTCTTACATAAATGAGCTGGGGCACTTTAAACAGAAATATATGCAAAGATAGATACTTTGAAATAAATTGAAAATCGTATTTTTATGCTTTTCTTAGCCCAATTAAGTGAAAAGCATTTAAACGCTCTTCATTTTGGGTCATTTTTTTACAATTTGAATAATTATTCTGGAAAAACGAAGTGCGCGAATGATCTGAAATTTTGCACAAAGATAAGTGGTCTAAACTGTCATTAAATAGTACGTTTATCTGGAAAAAAATATTTTCAATCCCATCATGTCAAAAAACCTCAGTGGAGTCCCTTTAAGGGTATGACTTATAACATGTCGGCAGCGAAAGATGCGTTTTGTGCTTTAACGGGCGGATGGAACGTCATTTAACTTAAACAACAAGCAAAACAAAGAAGAAATCGTTGCAAGGATTTTGCTTATTATATGCACAACTGATATAATTTAAGTCTGGTGTTTGTTGCCTGTCCTTCTTTAAAATGAAATTATTTTATGGATCACATTAGACCAAATGTACAATATTTCCCGTATCTCTTTCAATTAACGGCTCTGCAAACTGTTTGGCTGTCTTTTATTGATGAGCATGATAAAACACACACACACACACACACATATATATATATATATATATATATATATATATATATATATATATATATATATATATATATATATATATATATATATACGTTACTTAATATGGTGAAATAAACTTAGAGTGTCGATCAGCCAGCCATCTTTATTCTACTTTGATTATTTGATATTTGTTTTACAATTATTTTGTAGCATTATACCGGGATCAAAATCTTAAAAAATCTACATACCTAGCATGTATAAACAGTTACATTTTGTAGAAAACCCAGCATTGATCATAATGTAAACTCCAGCATTGTTTTGTTGAACATTTATCAGTGTAACAACTACATGACTGCAGTATTTCTTGTTATACTGACTCCTGGTAACAAAGTTTTAGATCAGACACAAACTAGATAAGTTTTACTTACCTAATATATACAGACAGTTACATTTTGAAACAAATCCAGCATTGATCATAATGTAAATTCCAGCATTGTTTTCTTGGACATTAGCCAGTGTAACAACTACATTGCCAGCAGAATCTCCTGTTATACTGACACCTGATGGCGCCTCGAGTTTGGGGTCCTTGTCTGTATCGAATGTTATACGAGCTTTAGGAGTACCATCATAAAATCTGACCTCAAACTGTCTACCTAGTGTTTCTAGATCTTTCAGGTCAGCAGTAAATTCAAGAGTAGCACTAGAGTTTACACGACTGTAAGCTTTTCTGATTGGTGATAAACATGGCCATGATTTGACTGAAATAAGATAAAAGAAACACAACTAGAAAACTGTGTACGACACATGGTTATTAAAATCGAAACAGTATTTGAGGTACAACACAGTTTGTGATGCCTGAACAATGAAATATAAATATCAATTTCGGTTTTTAAGACGTTCAGTAAATTAGAGAAGTATAAGTACAGACAAACAGTTTTCTAATGAGTAAATAAGTGAAATTATCCATTGGTAAAGTAAGGGAAGCACAATATCAAAACGTGTATGTTATAAACTAAACTAAATGAATTGGTTAAGGACTCGGTTAATATCAAACTTCCTTACCATTTACCGTATTGTGATAAGCAGACTTTTAAAATTAAAGTAGAAAATAACAAATCGAAGAAATATCAGCTGTAATTAAACTTGTCAGCAACTTTGAATGTTTTGTGGATAAATACGAACGCACATACACTTTATTCGGCATTTTGGTCAGTGATTTTATTGAGAGTAAATGTGTGGAATAATGCATATATTCTTAACGGTATAGATGTTACGCACAGTTACTTATGTATTTCACAAGATAGAGAGATACATATATACATAGCCTACATAAACGTTTCATACTTAAACAAAACAATTATAGAAAAAAATGATTACATACATAATAGAATATACATTTTGATACTTTGCATTTGTTATATAAAGCATATCTTCTTTTAACATTAAACTTATTATTTTAATTATTCGTACCTGTAATGAAAATATCTCTAAGGAGACACAAATCTAGTAATTTCATTTAATATCCTTGACTTGTTCGTGCACATCAATATATGAAAAGCCAGTAATGACGTTTGATACATTCTGAAATGAAAAAGGTTCTTCTCAAAATATTTATTTTACAGATAACAAGTTTAAATCTCAAACAATTTCGATCCATTCATTTGATTTAAATCAAAATGTCAGAAAAATTGTTTTGATGATTTCTAGGTTAAGTAAGAATACGGATTTTCTCGGGTCAAAAACTAGGCCACAGGTTCTAATAATATAAAACTCGTGTTAATACTCTAGTGGCTGCAGTTTTGATCCAAATTATCTGGAAATAAGCAAGATAGATTATTTTTGGTGATTTCTAAGTCAAGTTGTAATATTGGTTATAATTATAATCTCGGGTCAAAAACAAGATCACAGGAGCTAAAAAAGCCATCTCGTTAGCACTCTGGGGGAAACTGTTTCCGAACAAATATCCTGGAAATCTATCTGAAAGGATGATTTAATGATTTCTAGGTCAATGTGGAATAAAGGTCATCTCCGTCATAGGAGCTAAAAATAGAAAAAAAAATGTTAACTCTCTTTTCGTTGCAATTTTAATCTACATAGTCTGGAAATTGATGAGGAATGTTGTTTTGATATTTTCTAGGTCAAGTTCGAATGGCCATTCCAAGTCAAAAACTAGATCATAGAGGTTCATTATAGAAAAATCTTGTTAACACTCTTGTGCTTGCAGTTTTGTTCCTAATTTCCTGGTACAGCGTACATCTCACGGAACTTACCGAGCATGTACCGAAGACAAATATACTGTGTGCATCGATCATGTAATCAGTATGTAATTGACAGGTTAATAAAACCAAAAAATACATTTATTGATAAACCATTATGATACTATAATTTTAAGTATTTTTCAGAATTAGGTAATTATGTATTCAAAGAAAGTAACACGGAGTCCGAAGATATTTCACGCAACAATGATTTTGAAAATTTAAATGGATCGGATGATATTTTATATAAACGTATTACTGTGCATGAAATTTTGGAAGCAATCAAAACTTTCAAAACAAATAAATCTCATGGTATTGATTGCCTGTTAAATGGATATTTTTTGAATGTATTGACATTTTATCCTCACATATTTGTGATATTTATTATGTACTTGATAGCGGGTATTTCCCAGATACATGGTCTGAAGGTGTGATAATACCGTTGTATAAAACAGGTGACAAACATTATGTTAATAATTATAGAGGAATAACGTTAGTTTATTGTCGATCGAAATTACTCACATCTATTGTAAACGAAAGATTAATACAATATTGTGAAGAAAATAATGTTTTGTCCGATGCACTATTTGGATTTGAGAAAGGAAAATCAACCATTGATGCTTTATTTATTCTAATGACAGTTGTTTAAAATTATATGAATAATAATAAACGTTTGTATTGTATTTTTGTAGACTTTAAGAAGGCTTTCGATTGTATATATAGAATAGCGCTTTGGTAAAAAAATTAAGTAATTGTGGGATTAGAGGTAAATTGTTATGCCTAGTAAAAGACATGTATAGTAAAGGAAAATCGTGTGTAAAGTTATGTAATAATGACTCAGAATTTTTTAAATATGCAGTAGCTCTACGTCATGGGGAGGTAATTTCACCGATTTTATTTTTTAGAATGACTTTGAATTATTTTTAAAAGGGTTGTAAATAGTGGTTTGACTATTAATGATATTGTTTTGATTTTGATACTGTTTGTTGATGATATAGTCATTTTAGGAGATACACCAGATGATAAAAAATAGAAGTTTGACGTTGTAAAAAATGGGGCTCGATAAAACCAAAATTGCTGTTTTCAGAAAACGATGAGGTTTGAAAAAACAATGGATTATTTTATTACGAAGGGAAACATTTAGATATTGTCGAAAAGCTTCAATTACTTAGGAAAAATATTTAGTTATACTGGTTGTTTTAGTTTAATCAAGAACAATTGATTGGTAAAGCTCATAAAGCAGCTCTAAATGTACTACTGATTAATTGTAATATATATCAGTTAAAACCTAATGTGTTATGTCAGCTTTTTGACTCTTTTGTTGGTTCAATTTCAAATAACGCTGCTGAAATCTGGGGTTTTAGTAACTCAAAGGAAATTGAAAGATTCATCTTAAAGTTTGTAAAAAATATTAAATGTAAAAGTTAATTCATGTAATGTTGCTGTGTATGGTGAATTAGTACGTTATCCTTTATATATTTCAAGATATGTTACGATTTTGGTTTAAACTGCTTGAGAATGATAATATCATTCTTAAAAATGTATATAGCATTGCTCTCGAAGACTGTGATAAGGGTAAGAAAAATTGGTTATCAAAACTTAAATTGTTATTATGTAATCATGGTTTTAGTGATATTTGGGATTTTCCAGATTCCGTAATAGTAAAATATTTTACCTATATTTAAGCAAATGGTAATTGAATGTTTTTAACAAAGTTGGCTTTCTCGTAAAGACAGCATTTGTATAATCATGTTAAAGATTCTTTTGTATATGAAAATAATCTTGATATAATACCAAGTACTTTACAAGTATCTTACAAGAATTAGAATATCTTCGCATTCATTACATGTGCAAACTGGTAGGTTTCATAGAAATAGAATTGTTAGAAATGAAAGATAGTGTTTATATTGTAATCTACATGACGTCGAAGATGAATACCATTTCATTTTAATTTGTCCTTGATATATTGAAATAAGAAAAAATTAAATAAAAAATACTATTATATATGACCTAGTATGCTTAAATTCACTGATATGTTAAATTTATATATAAATCATTCATCCTCTATATTAACCCTTTCCCCCATGAGCATATTGTGAAAAATGGCCATTTTCACTGAAAAGCCTCCTGTTACAAGTTCAAACTGCTATGAAACTATGAAAAATGCTTCAATACTAATCAAACTTGGCACAAATGTTGACTTGACCATTGCCTTTGTAACGACATGCTCAGTCTTAAATTTCCTGTTACCATGGCATAGAGGGGACATCTCAAAATTGCCAAAAATCACTTTTTTGCCTCGATTTTTCCATCAAAATTTAATTCAAAGTGCTGCAACTTCTCAAGGGATTGAGATAGAGTCAAAGGCTTTTCAGCGTTGGTTACACGTTACCTTATGATCGACCTGGGGTCATTTTAAGCCTCTCACAAGTCCAAAATTTTCTTGGCGATGAGGGGGACTCCGCCCCCCCTTCAAACCCCCCAAACAGAAGGGGGCACATCCCCCTTCTGGCAACCCCCTGATGTAATATTTGGATGGGGGACGGCGCCGATAAAATGGTCACTTTTTTAACAACATTTCTCAAACAAAAGACAGTGTTTGGGGCCTAAATAGGGCATTTTTTCACTGTTTGAGGCCTCAAAAGGGGGAGGGGGGCAAAAAGCCGTCGAAACACGCTTATATAAGGGAAAAGGTTAATATGAAAGAAACATGTTTAGAACCGATTTTGTGATTAATGTCAGTATGTTTTGTAAAATTGTTTATATATGTATCACGATGTATGATTGTACAAGTCAAAAATAAAGTATATGTCCTGTTCTTTTCTGTCATCTCCAGTCGAAAACTATGTCACATTCCAAATATAGAAAAACCTTGTAAACACTCAGGTGGTTATATTTTAAGTGGAAATAGGTCAGAGAAGTTTATTTGGTGATTCTAAGTCAACTGCGAATATGGGATGTCTCGGTAACATAATCTAGAAAAAAGAAAAATCTTGTTAACACTCTGGTGGCTGCAGGTTTGATCCAAATATTCTGAAAATTGGCCACAAAGATTGTTTCTATGTCAAGTTTTAATATTGGTTATCTCGAGTTAAAAAGTTCACACATCCCAAATATGGAAAAACCTTATTAACACTCCAGTGGCTACTTTTTAGGTTCAAAAATCCTGGAAATTTATCACATATGTTGTTTTGTTTATTTCTAGGTCAAGTTCGAATATGGTCATCTCTGGTCAAAAGTAGGTCACACAGCCCAACTATGGATAAACCTTGTTAACATACTAGGAGTTAATGTTTAAGTTGATTATCCCGGAAAATGGTCAGAAAGGTTGTTTTGATGATTTCTAGGTCAAGTTTAAATATGGGTCATCATGGGTCAAAAACAAGGGCACACAGCCCAAATAAGATTGGATTAAGCCTTCATTTTCAGGTGAGCGATATATGTTTTTATTTAAAAAGCCCTAAGTTAAAATTGGCCCGCCCGGGTGTCATTGATTTTCCTTATATGATATTGTAAAAATCAAAAAGAATTGTTTTAAAAAAATTCAAAGAGCTAGAACTTCTAGAGCTGAGTTTTTTGCCATGAAACATCTCCTAGTGAGTGTCTACCAATTTATTTTAAAAGAAACCCCTGGGATCAAAATTGGTCAAGTTTGGGGATAATTCATTTTCCTTATATGCAAATTGTAAAAATGAAAACAAAATTTTCTTTTTAAAAAACACAAATTAACAAGTATGCGAATTAGGGCCATCATGACCCTCTTGTTTAGTCAAAGGTAGGTTTTTGGTTTTTAAATCAACAATCAAAGCGAAAACAGCTGTTACTAAATATGTTAGCAACTTTAAATGTGTTTTGGGTTAACACGAACTTATTACATACACTTTATTCGTCTTGGTTTGAAATTGTTAGTGTTTTTTGTGGGTAAATGTGAGAAAAAATGCGTATATTCTTTACGGTACAGGTGTTACACTTAATTGCATAGTTATGCAACAAATAAGAGAACGCTACATACTTAAACAAAACATTATAGAAAAATTGATTGCAAGCAAAGTAAAATTAAAACTACACTTTGAAACTTTTCATTTGAACATTTACTCATTCTTTTTTTAACGTATAATTTCAATTAATCGTACCTGTGATAAAAATATCCATAAGCAGATAAAAGGCTAGTATTTTCATTTTAAATATTTGATTTGTCCTTGCAGTTAGATGTATATAATATATATATATATATATATATATATATATATATATATATATATATATATATATATATATATATATATATATATAATATATATATATATATATATATATATATATATATATATATATATATATATATATATATATATATAAACCAGTAATCATGAAATGTAAAGGGTACATCTCAAAATATTTTCTTTAGAGACAGCAACTTTTAAACATCCTGTTTCAATCTAAAACAATTCTGCTCCATTCATCTGATTTAAACAAATTGTTGGTAAATGATGATCAATGTGTCATTCAATTTTCCAATGTTTCATAATTCAATGCTTCAATATTTCATTATTCCTGATTCAGAAGAAGAATTATAATAACCGCTTGGTTTTGTAAACTTAGGATTTATAAAACGACATAAAGGGAAACAACTTATATTCAATATAAAGCCTCTTAAATTTCAAACTAAATGAAAAGTATATATCACTAAATTAGAAATTTGTACTCTACTTTTTGTGTTTAAATATTGAGACAGGATTACTTGCACGTACAAGTTTACAAGTTCGCGCATGATGAAAAATGTATTAAACTAAAAGCCGTTTGAAATGCCCCTCCCCCAGTTAATGTACGGGAAGTTTATAACGAATGAGGAAGTAAAATTAAGAATAAGCGAATATTGTACTGAAATAAACGTTAAACCTCTTGTATGTTATCATGAACTAAAAATATCTTATACCTACATATATTTTACAAAAGGAAAGGGCAAACTTAATCAATGTGCAAAAGTGTGCATATTTTAGGTAGTTTTTTAAAACATTTTATCTGTAAGTTTTGCAAGTATTTATTAAACTATATTTGTGTCACTTTTTTGTGGTATCTACTTTATTTATAATTGAATTATTATTTTTTGACTTATTTAGACGTTTTCTGCTTGTATCCAAGTGTAAACACATTGCGCATGGTGAGCTAATATCGCAGGTTTTAGCCACACTGAAAATACCTGCTATACAAGAACGCTCTTTTCTTACTACATCATGATCAACATTAGAAGAAAAAGTAACTGTGCTGCTTGAAGTTTTCTTTTGTTTCTGCGTCGATTGTCTTTTGGTTTCCAAGTACAAATTATCACTTGCTTGGTTTGAATTGGATGAGAAAGCATTAAAAGTTAATTGTGTATTACACACGTTTATTATCTCAAGTTTTTCGAACCTGGAAGTATGAAGTACAATGAAATATGCCGATATCAGTGCAAATCATATGAAATTCAATATAACATAACATTTATATCATTTTAGACGTGTACATAGTACATAGACAAGCAAAATATTAAAATTTCACATGTTCGGTGGTCATGATAATACAAAATACAACAAGAGCCATGTCAACATGTACATCCCCCGCCGAATGTGTTTGCTCATTGGAAGAATGTATATGTAGTACAGCAGAATAATTCCATTTTAAGAGGTCTTTTGGTAATGAAAACTGATGGCTATAGTGATTACAGATTTGAAACCTATGTGAATACTGATGGCTGAAAATAACAAAGGGCAATAACTGAAAAATAATGCAGGCTAGGTTATCATTTTTGTGGGCTGCATCCCTCCTCAGTAAAATCTATCCACCTATGAAGTTTCAAGTTGATACCTCAAATACTTTTTGAGAAAAAAATTGAATTGAAAAATTAAGTATGAAAAATAACAAAGGGCAATAACTCTAAAATTATGAAAGGTAGAGTTATCATTCTTGTGCACTGCACACCTCCTGAGTGAGATCTATGCACCTATGAAGTTTCATTTTGATATCACAAAGGCTTTTTGAGTTATGCTCTGAACAAAAATTAATTTTGAAAAATAACAAAGGGCAATAACTAAAAAATTATGCAGGGTAGAGTTATCATTCTTGTGCACTGCACTCCTCCTCAATGAGATCCATCCACCCATGAAGTTTCAAGTTGATACCTCAAATACTTTTTGAGATAAGCTCTGGACAAAATAGCAAAAAAAAGAACAAAGGGCAATAACTCAAAAATTGTATAGGGAAGAGTTATCATTCTTGTGCACAACATTCCTCCTCACTAAGATCTATCCACCTATGACATTTCATGTTGATATGTCAAACACTTTTCGAGTTATGCTCCACTCAGGTGAAAAATTAAGTATGAAAAATAACAAAGGGCAATAACTCAAAATAATGAAAGGTAGAGTTATTATTCTTGTGCACTGCACACCTCCTGAGTGAGATCTATGTACCTATGAAGTTTCGTGTTTATATCTCATAGGCTTTTGGAGTTATGCTCTGGACAAAAATCAATTTTGAAAAATAACAAAGGGCAATAACTCAAAAGTTATGCTGGGTAGAGTTATCATTCTTGTGCACTGCACTTCTCCTCAATGAGGTCTATCCACCTATGAAGTTTCAAATTGATTACTTAAATACTTTTAGAGATATGCTCCGGACAAAAATGTCGGACGGAAGGACGGTCAGACGGACGGAAGGTCGGACGAACGGTGGACGGACGGAGACTATTTCTATATCCCCCGCCGCCTTTTCGGAGGGGGATAACACGAGCCATGTTAGCATGGCCATATTCCGCCGAATGTGTTTGCTCATTGGAAGAATGTATATGTAGTAGAGCAGAATAAATCAATCTCAAAAGGTTCTTTGGTAATGAAAACTAATTGCTGAAGTGAATACAGATTTGAAACCTATGTGAAGACTGATGGCTGAAAATAAAGGGCAATAACTGAAAAAATTATGCAGGGAAGAGTTATCATTTTTGTGTGCTGCACTCCTCCTAAATGAGATCTATCCACCATGAAGTTTCAAGTTGATACCTCTAACACTTTTTGAGATAAGCATGTATATGAAAAATAGCAAAGGGCAACGACTCAAAAATATAAAATATACAGTTATCATTTTTATGCACAGCATTCCTCCTCAATAAAATCTATCCATCTATGAAGTTTCATGTTGAAATCTCAAAGACTTTTTGAGTTATGCCTCAATCAGGTTTCAAATTTAGTATGAAAAATAACAAAGGGCAATAACACAAAAAATATGAAAGGTAGAGTTATCATTCTTGTGCACTGCACACCTCCTGAGTGAGATCTATCTACCCATGAAGTTTCATGTTGATATCTCAAAGGCTTTTTAAGTTATGATCTGGACAAAAATTAAGTTTGAAAAATAAAAAAGGGCAATAATTGAAAAAATATGCAAGGTAGAGTTATCATTATTGTACACTGCACCCCTCCTCAATATGATCTATCCACCTATGAAGTTTCAAGTTGATACCTCTAACCTTTTTTTGAGATAAGCTCTGAACAAAAACTTTGAAAAATAACAAAGGGCAATAACTGAAAAATTATAATTGGTAGAGTTATCATTCTTATGCACAGCATTCCTCCTCAATTAAGATCCGTCCACCCATGAAGTTTTATGTTGACATCTCAAACACTTTTTGAGTTATGCCCCACTAAGTTGAAAAATTAATAATGAAAAATAACAAAGGGCAATAACTCAAAAAATATGAAGGATAGAGTTATCATTCTTTTGCATTTCACACCTCCTAAGAGAGATCTGTCCACCCATGAAGTTTCATGTTGATATCTCAAAGGATTTTTGAGTTATTATCTGGACAAAAAGTAAGTTTGAAAAGTAACAAAGGGCAATTACTGAAAAAATATGCAGGGTAGAGTTATCATTCTATGCACTGCACTCCTCCTCAAAATAATCTATCCAGCTATGAAGTTTCAAGTTGATACCTCAAATACATTTTAAGATATGCTCCGGATAAAAATGTCGGACGGAATGACGGATGGACGGACGGACGGAAGGACAGACGGACGGAGACTATTTCTATATCCCCGCCGCCTTTCGGCTGGGGATTATATGATACTCGTACCTAATCACTTAAGGGAATATACATAAGTTTACAAGAAAATGATAAGAATATATTCTCAAAAATAAGTACCATTAATCCAACTGGCAACCCCACAAAATACTGTATAACGCCTGACTGTACACTGTGCGCAAAATAACCAACTGAGACCATTTTCTTATTATACACCATACAAAATGTCCTGATAACTGCTATCATTTAGCGAAAAAAGAACAAATCATGATAAATTCAACGTAATAAACAACAGTATACGTTTTTTATGAAAGCAATTATCTAAAAGTAAATTCTTCAATGTAGTTTTCAATACCTTCAAAATAGCTACCCAATAAATCTCAAAAACGTGCAAATATAATGTTCTATGTTCATGATGAACATGTAGGAAACGGCCAACCGTAAGCATAAAAAAGCGTTTACTAGATTTTTCTTGTATAATTTTGTATTATGGCAATCGTAAACAATTAAAGCACATATACATTTAAAGTATTGCGACCGAAGCTCGAAGTCGTAGAAATAACTTAGTTTTCAGAAATATAAAGGAAATTTATTTATCGGAAAATTATGATTCGCTTGTAGAATCATTTCTCCATGATAAACTTGATATTGACCTTACTAGTATTTGTGTAGTACGTGCTCATCTTGGCAAAAAGGAATCGGGAAAGACACAACCAATAATAGCTGTTTCAAAGAATATCGAAATTATTAACACATTTTAACTCGTGGGTATGAATCGAAAGGTAAATTAAACTTTCGCATAAACAGATATTATCCCAATAAAATTGTTGCAGCCAAGTCACGTATCAAGCCTAAATACAAGGAAGAACGGTCAAAAAATTCTCCTAAATTTGTTTGTATTGGCCATCCCGCAAAACCTATTGTGAAAAACAGAGTAGTGCAAGATGAATTTCCACTTTTGCAAAACGTTATGCAAATGTCACGTCACAAAGAACGCACGTCGACTAAAGGAGATACCATTGCAAAGTAACATGACACGTTCAATACGCAGCGTACAGAACATCACGTGCCTACGACGAATTCTTTAGTCGCGTTATCAGGAATGTTAACAGACGATACTTCTGGCAGAGATTACGTAGATGAATACAGCCAGCCAATGCGCGATTACGAATCTAGATAAAAAGACAAGCATTGTGTCTCAACAGCATCACTACGTGTTACATCGACGCGGGATTCCGTGTCTTTCACAAACAAGGATTCAGCTATTAATCTCACGACTAACAACAATTGCTAGAGGGCTTGGTGATTCACAGAATAACTCATTTGCTAATATTAACTGTTCCATTAACTTACAACTCGTTGACGAAAATGTTTACTTGAAGATAAATGTAAATGTGAAATATGACGAAATTAATTGCACACCTGACAAACTTAGGATAGGATGATTAAATATGTGGGCCTGAAAAGATGATCGAATTACAATGCATTTGTTAAACTTGAAAACAATTATGATATTTTCTTAGTTGCTGAAACAAAATTGGATGTGTATTACCACATTCATTTAAGTGGTTACACTTAAGTTAGTATTCCGAGAAAACAAAAAATGGTGAGAAAGTCTGGTGGACTTGGTGCATTTATAAAATTTGAAATATTTTCATTTATTGAAGTAATACATACGCATTGTGACTATCTGGTTTGATTAAAGCTAAATTGTAGATTCACAGGTATGTCTCATGACATTATTCTTGCAACAGTTTATGTACCACCTATTCAGTCTCATTTGTATGAAAAATGATTACCGTTTAAGTTTCACGGTGCATTAAAATAGAGAAAATAAGAATCCCTAAAGAAAACCCAACACTGCAAAATCGGTTTGATTGAGCCTGTTCATCGACGGTACTGTCAAGTGCAAACTACCGTCAACGCCCCCTAGCACCGGCTTAAGCAGAATTCAACATTTAAAATGAACTGGTACAATTTTGAATTTTGAAACATCCGCAGATGTGTTCATATGGCTGCCATAACGGAACCTTCAGTGTGACACGTAAGTGCCATTCCTTGAAAAGCGGCAAATGGTCCCCAAGTAGAAAAAAATGCATGTGCCCTAAACGAGAAAACAATGGGCGGAACTAGATAAAATGGAATTTTGAAAGGGGATGATCAGAGGTTATGAAGCCTGCATATCACAGATAAGACGTAAAAAGACAAATTTAAAAAGCAGGCCACATATCTTAAGGGTGATTCAACAGTATTCAAGTGAGGAATACTGGAACCACCAAATAAGAAAATAGGCGAATAGAAGGAACTAAATTACCACAAGCACAACAATAATGTTAACCCTGTCGTTTACAAAAAAGTAATCATCTCATAAAAATATTGGATTTGTATGAAAAGATACCTAATATAATGCGGAAATATACCGTTAAATTCTGACTGTAGACACCACCCCAGGTTGGACAAAAGTCTGTAACACGAATTTGTTGTTAATATATCGATACTAGGATAAATGAAACTTTCCCTCTAATTAACGCTGATAAACAGAACCCGATACAAAGTCAAATGACAATAAAACTGAAAAGTTATATTAACAATTATACATAGTGCAAATGAAACATTTATAAAGTATTACACGAAGCCATAAACCAATTGATAATGAAAGCAAAAAGGCAACAAAAATATACTTAGGAAAAGTATAGCAAGTATCCATCTGGAAAAAAATTAAGTAAATAAATAATGCAAGTAAGAAGTATAAAAGATAATGAACAGATATGTAAATGAATTTTATGAAAATGGCGAATTTAAATTAAGAGATTTGCGGAGTAAAAATCCTAACGATTACTAGTAATAAACAAACAAAATTAAAACCAAAAACATCTATAGACATGCCAACTTTAGATTCCATGTATGCTGACTTCAAAGAGGCCAATAAAAATTCGTATCAATAATTAGTGCTCGCTAATGTTTTAAGCCAATCACCGACGAGGATTTTTCAAATTTTTAGGTTTCAAATCTTGATAGAACAGATTTTATATAAACTGGACGTTTTATATCATAAAACGCAAGTGGGCGGAGCACTAAGCCGGTTAGAGTGCATATTGGATGTTCTTCGTAAAAAAGAAAGCTACAGTCGCTTCGCAAGCTCCGCTCCTTTTTAACTTTCTTATTTACGAAGAACACCCAATATGCACTGTAACCTATACATCATATTAACGACAATTATGTCATTATTCATATAGAGTTAACACACGATTATATTTTGAACTCCTATATAACTAGTGTAGAAATAACAGAACTGTATCTAAACATTAAAAATGGTATATTACCAGGCAGTGATGGAATCTTAACTGAACATGCATATATAATGCTACAGTGCAATGAAATTAATCATTGAACACCTTGTAAATCAATTTAAAAGGAGAGTAGAATTATAATAACAATTTGTACAGATTAGTTCTTCTACTTACATTTTAAAGTGTTAATAACAAATGATGAAACACAGTTTTTTCATGTTAACATGTGCCCTTACGCCTAATTTTGGTGAAAAATTGTTGTTTTTTGACATTTTTTTTATTTTTTTGATAAACCTTTTACCCTATAAGCATATTGTGAAAATTGGCCGTTTGCAATGAAAAGCCTGCTGTTACAAGTTCAAAGTGCTATAAAACTATGAAAAATGCTTCAATACTAATCAAACTTGGCACAAATGGTAACTTAACCATAGCCCTTTTACAAACATGCTCATGGAATGTAACTTACTTCTCACATTGAACACATTTGCGGATGTTTTACAATTCAAAATTGAACCAGTTCAATTTGAATTTAATGTTGAATTTTGCTAAAGCCGGTGAAAGAGGGCGTCGACTGTAGTTTGCACTTAACAGTACCTTCCATGAACAGGCTTAATTAAACCGAGCCTGCAACATTTTCAATTATGCCGTGTTGGGTTTTCTTTAGAAATTCTTATTTTCTCTATTTTATCGCCACAGCAGCGTTGTTCGTGCCTTGTGGAAGCTGTAAAAAGTCGCCCAGTACATTCAGTCAGAGACGTTTTATTTCCGGTCCTTAAAGATCGTTTAGCACGACATTATTGTTTTGCTTGTGGAAATCTAGTTCTTTCTAGTTGGCTTGTTGGGTGGTTTTCCAGTATTCCTCGTTTGAATACAGTTGAATCACCCATAGGATATGTGACCTGCCTTTAAATTTGTCTTCTGACGTCTTATCTGTGATATGCAGACTTTATAGCCTCTGATCCCCTTTCAAAATTCAATTTTATTTTGTTCCGCCCATTCCATTATTTTCTCGTTTTGGGCACTTGCATTTTTTTTTACTTAGGGGACCATTTGCCGCTTTTCATGGAATGGAACTTGCGATTCACATCGAAGTTTCCGTGATAACCGACATATGAACACATCTGCGGATGTTTCAAAATTGTACCAGTTCATGTTAAATGTTGAATTCTGCTTAAGCCGGTCCTAGGGGTCATGGACGGTAGTTTGCACTTAACAGTATCATCCATGAACAGGCTCAATCAAACCGAGCCTGCCATATTTTCAATGCCGTGTAGGGCTTTCTTTAGGGAGTCTTATTTTCTCTATTTTTTCACACATCTTAAGCGAATATCTTACCACAACACCATTGACTTGCAATAAAGTTAGTACCAAACTAAATTATTCTAGGTAGGGTTTATTATAATTCACTGATTATTGGCAATAACAAACAAATATAAATGATTAAAATTATCAGCAGCAGAAATAAGGTGATAACCTATATGAAAACAAACTGTTTATACAATGTGATGCCAATTATTTTTTCAATACCCAATATGCAGTCGTGTGTAATTTAAATTGATTGCCAATATGATGCCAATCCATTTATTACATGTTAACAAGCTTTAATCTTTGCGGAGAAATCATTTAAAACAAATAACAATTGTTTTTTTCTGATATCATATCTTGTAAATATTTATAAAAAAATGTTCGTATGATAAAATAACATTATTAATAAGTATTTACGGGCCATTAAAGCATGATAAGTCAATGACGTTTCTTTTTATCAATCACTGCCCCCAGAATGATGAATCATCTCCAAAAACCCACTGCATTCCAAAAAGGAAGCCGCTTCCGAAAGCTTCACAATAACACCACACATGTACTTTCATACAACGAACCTTATCTAAGTTCTTGTTGTTGTATTTTTTCTGGTCCTTTGAGGTCATTAATTCTGGCATGTAATTGTTAAGATTGAAATAAGATTACGCAGGTAATATAGGGCGTGATAAATATTGCACCTTTTACATTATCTCTAATGAACAAATCCTTTCAAATGGGCCAAAAGTTGTCATATTTTATTGTTGTTTTCAATGCATCTGAGGGATTATCCATTGTCCAGATTTATTACTCTAACTTTAAATTTCGACAATAAAAGCATTTTCCCAAAGAGGAGCATAGTATATATTTAAACTTTTTAGAAAATAACACAAAACAAATGTAATAAAAACCATTTCCCACTAAATTCATTCAAAATGTTTACACAAAAAGCTTTAGCTAAATACATTGCTATCTTTTTCACTTTATGTACAAAATATATTGTGTTCGACTTAAATATATGAGCTAAAATTTTATATCTAAGTGTTATATTTCTGTCGATGTTTTCTTTACATAGTTGATATGGCTTCGTATGGAGATCTTGAATCCCTCATTTCTGTCCTGAGGTCAGTATATGGATTTTCATACCCTCCCCTGTCCGGGATATCTGTATTGTCTTCGATATGTATATTCCTTTTAACAAAATGAAAATACTACATGATAATGTCCCATATATCTTACTAGAAAATGATTGTGCTAATGATTGCAAACGTTTATTAATATGTTAAAATACCTTCAAAATGTTAACTAATCTTATAAGTGTGCATGTAAAACTGTCTCATAATGTTCGATCCTATAATTTTCAGTAAATGTAGTTGAGAGACATGATATTATATAATATTCATTTATGATTAATAAAACACAAATCCAACAGCCATGCGCAATAAATGTGATGATGCGTCAAACATTAAATTTGCAAAATAAAGATGTCAGTCTTTTAACATGTATGCCCCCACCCTGACTGTTGATCTTGAACGCCTTTACTGGTTTGGCTGGTGCGCCATCTGGTCACATCTTCAATATTATTCCAAATTATATGTCAGTAAAATACCTCAGTTTGAAGCACTTGGTATAAATAGGAAGTCAAATTACCGTTAATGAACATGAGTTTATCTGAACTTTTTAGGTAAGTTTCAAATATGCGCAAAAATTGTTCAAAAGTGCGCAAATCTACCCCAAAATTAATACAATGTTATGTCACATTCTTGCAACAACGCTACCAGCATGTGGTTCGCGGACACACACGGTGTATTATTTACTATCTTTCACTAACATTTTTCAATATTTTGTTTTTTTTCACGTGATTTCGCATTATTTTTAGCATGTCCGTTGACTTTGTGTTTGTTATGAAATTTAAATATATGTAATATCATTTCAACTCTCTCATCTGAATATTTTGAAAATTTCAACATGATCTTGCCAATATTGAACCTCATATGGCACCTTCATACATGTACACATATATGATTTTAATGAAGATTCATATAATTCAGCATTATCTTTTATTTTAGATACAATACTAATTTTAAGTTCACAAATCGTATGCATTATACATTTATCATAGCTTTAATATTTCTTTTTTAAATACACTTACACTTGACCGTCTTTTTTCTGCACGCGACCTGAATAGTAAATGTTATCATTAAAACATATTGCTACAACACTTTCATATATGATTTTCTTAATATAACTAGCACATTAGATTTTACTAGCGTTTGTCATATAATGATATGGTTTGTGCAATAGTCTTTTAAAGTGTAATGCAACAATTAATATGGGGAATAATCTGTATAAAGTATACATAAAAACACACTGACATTAAATATGTATTAGATATAATGCTACAAAGTTATAAATGAGGGGGCCAAAATGGAAAGAACTATGTGACTAGTATGTTAAGTAAACAGTCATCATTGATAAACAAATATATGAAATCTTTAATTACCATCCTTTTGGACAGAGTCTCGCGTTCTTTTAAGTTGGATTGTTACATAAATCGCATACGATATAACCACAACTATCACTACACTTAAGACAATGCCCACGATTAATGTAGTTGTAGTTTTAGTTTCTGTTTCAACTGAAAAATAAATTCATTGTAATGATTAAATATAATTATTTTGTGAAATTGTCAGGAAACTCTTACAGAAAGAAAATAAACCTTTTGTAAAACAATTTTTATTACACATTGTAACAGACATAAGACAGCTACAACTATAAAAAAGGGCTACTCAAAGGGGACATAACTATGAAAGATAAATATTTGATAAGAAATTCCAACTTGAAAAGTATCTTATGATGACACAAGTACATCTGTATACAAAAACAATTAATAAAATTGATTGTCTTTTTTTATTGTCTGGAAACCATTGGCAAACTCACTCAAACACTAGATTTGGGGGTATAATGGCACTCATGATTGATCTTATAACGTATACATAATAACCATACGAATGGAGTTTTCTTATTTATTTTTTTTGGACTTGAACATTATTTCATTCACCTGTATGTAGTCTTATGTGTGACATAGCATGGGTAAGTTCAATGACGTAAAACAAATTATATAGAAGTGTGCATACAATGAATCATATGATTACATACTACACTCGAAGTTCTATAATTTCCTGATATTCATATTATTCTAAATTGCTTAAAATGACGCTTACCTTTGATAGGTGACGTAGTAAAAATAAGAATTTCCGAAAGAGGACTATTTCCAACGTCGTTATATGCGTACATTCGTACGAAGTATGTTGTAGAATCCCTAAGACCTGTCAGAATTTTAGAAATTGTTTGATCATTATGTTTGACTCCATCTTGCACTTCTGTATCTTCCCAAGAACTTTCACCAGTTCCTAACTGTATAACAAACGTTTGTGTTAACCCTCCATTGTTGCCAGGTAACCACGACAATCGGGCCTTGTTATGCTGAATATAGTCTATTGTAAAGGCTCTCGGTGTTCCTGGTGCCACTAAATGGTTAAAGGTAATTAAGTACGTCTTAAAATAATTTATGTTTTAGTATGCTTTTATTTAACAATGCAGTTCACAAAGAAAAAAGTACTTTGAAAACGCGTTTCGTAAAACAAATTAACTCAGAAAAAAACGTTATCGTCTATCATTTACAATATATCATAACGTGCAACAATATCCATAAAAACCTAACGCCTGAGCACACGTTTGTCAGTAAATATATTAGAACTTATTTCATGATAAAGTATTCAAGGTGCAATATATTTTGCAATTACGTTTAATCTCATGCTTCTAACTGAAACCGGAATTATGCCTGAAACCAATGCGGGTAAATTGATTCAGAGAGCGAAAAAATGTTACGTTACAACACTTTTAATTCTACAAGTTATTTAATATATAAATACATGTAAAAGCAAATGTTTCCGTTTGTAAATAACTTACCTGTACATGAATTATTATAAAGTATATATCCAGTGTTACATGAACAGGTATACGATCCATCAGTATTGGTACATTGTACATCAGAACGGCCACAAATGTTTGTATATGTACTACACTCGTCTATATCTGAAATAATCTTAATATCCATGATGTGTTATTTGATCAGACTATTGCAAAACAATGTAAAATTAGGAAATAGATATCAATTACTAGTGCTTTGTCGTAGACTAAAATGCACGGTTTGATTTCAAATGCGTAAGGATATAATCACGAAGGCCGATAGGCCGATAGGCCTGAGTGATTAATAACATTAAGTGATTGACTTAATATTCAAGTTTAATTTCGTACATTTTAATATTTTATAGCAACTAAATGATGCATGTAAAATATGAATAACACACAACGAATGTTCATATAAGTACAGTGCCAATGACTTAGGTTTCCAGTTATTACAATAGCAACAACTCTTCCTTCAATGTCTTACTTTCATAACATATTTTTCCGAAAGTTTCCTGAGAAAAGTTACTAATAACTGAATGTGGAAGTGAACAAAGTCGATTTCTAAAATTTATATAGACCAGGGAAAAATACATATTCCACAGTTTTAGGAAAAAATTATCCTTAAATAAAATGCTCTAAACTTTTTGCATGATAAGTACAAATTAATGGCAAATTCAAAAATAAAAGAAAAATATATGTTAATACGTTGGATTTGTTTGGTAGAATGGTAGTATCCATGCTAACCTGCGTATCAAAACTGGCAAAGCCACACTGTGTATAAAACAATATAAGACAGCTTAATACAGACAACAAATAAAATTTTACACAAGGATAACTTTTAAATTATCTGATGATCTGATGATTCTGTATAGAACAATTAATAAACTGAACATATTTCTTTTTAATATGACTTTTTCAAGCTTCTTAACTGAACAAACTAGAGTACCCTTTTAACAAATATTGACAATCATCCTATGAAGTTTGAACACTATTAGCTAAATGGAAATTAAAGTTATGATCCAGAAAGCACAATTTTCAGTATAAAGATCATTGTAATCTCGACCTTTGACCTAATGACCCCAAAATAAATAGGGGTCATGTATTGCTCTTTGCTGTTCATCCCATTAAATTTACAGCTGAAGGTTGATTATTACTTAAATTATTGAGTAGTAACTGTTTTCAGTTTTAAGGTAATCGTGACCTTGACATTTGTCCTGAGGACCCCAAAATCAATAGGGGGCTTTTACCCAATATGGATAATCATGATATGAAGTTTGAATATTGTAGGCCAAATGGAACTTAAGTTATGCTCCGGAAACCAAATTGCTAACGGACGGACGACTGACGGACGGACGCCAGAGGGTATAACATGATATGCCCGAAATTTTTCGGGCCTATAAAAATGAGAAAACTAAACATGAATTCTGTAAATGATTACAAAATATAAAAAAAATGTTTGTAATTCCATGCAAAAAGGAACAGCCATTGCTGAAGTCAATTTAATGTTTGTTAACCAAAATGAATATTTTATTATCATCAAATTAAGGGAAGTACTTTGCAAAAATATTTCGGTTACTCTTAATAATTAACAGACCTATCGAGAAAATCCATCGTTCTTTGTATATGTTACTAAACAAGCGCACAGCCGTATTTTACCTGTGCATGTAAAACCATCAGCCTCAAGGTTAAACCCAGCGTTACATGAACAAGTAAATGATCCTGCCGTGTTCGTGCATCCACCATTTGTATTGTCACAGTTGTCAGTATTTGCAGCACATTCATCTATATCTGAAAACAGCAAATAATTGCTTATTAATTGTGTCTTATCATAACAAACTGCACCTAATAATTGATGCAATAGCGTCACCTGATCACCTACTTGATTTCTCTGATTATTTCACTGATAATCTGCATTACGTTTATGTAATTTTATAGGCAGTTCTTATAATTATTCACTTGCTAAATGTGACATTGTGTAATCGTTTGCAAATAATTACATAGAAAAATAACTCCTCAGCAAAACATTGTAAATAATTCATGCTCGTGTATTACCTGTACATGTAAAACCATCAGCCTCAAGGTTATATCCAGCGTTACACGAACAAGTAAATGATCCTGCAGTGTTCGTGCATCCGCCATTTGTATCGTCACAGTTGTCGGTATTTGCAGTACATTCGTCTATATCTTGAAACAGAAACTGGTCGTTAATTAATTATATTTTCACTTAACAAACCTGTCATATGACATTTGTCTGGACAAGATTACACACGAAATTTACTTCGTGTCACTCTCGGAATAAATATCTTGCATGATTATCCCCTGCAAAATCGTCAGTTCAAAAACATATCACACAGCCTTGTGTTACATGTAATAGAAAGAGCACCGAAACACGAGGTTATCTGATTTGTACGAGGGGGCGTAGCCCCCGAGTATAAATCAGATTGCCGAGTGTTTTGGTGTTCTTTCTCTTTTGTATTATAGTCAAACATAAAAACCTGTTCCCTGTTGTCATAATTTTAAACCCCTGGAAAAGGTTACCAATGAACGAGCATCTGAATATAATATGTATGCCGCTTTCCCTTTCTCTGCCGTCACAATATGTAAAACCCAGCAAAAATGAGCCAATCAACGGGCATGATCTGGAGTGCGGGTAACTGATACATGCACTCCAGTTACCGCACTGTGCATGTATATGTATACGATTTAACTCTGACACTTTTTCAACAGAAAGGTCCCCAAACTATGATACAAATAAACGTTACTACACTATTGAGACTATTGAGACAGGACTACTAATATCAATCACGCATTGACAAAATACATTTATTTATCAGTGGATTTTTTTCGCTTTAATGTCTTACTCTAAATCATAGTCCAGTTGTCGTATTCAGTACTTTAAGCGCTTTCAAGTGTTAACGATACCATTTTCTTTAAACTCACAACTTTTGTATTAAATCAACTGTTTCCAAAACAAGATTAGATCAAACTAACAAATAGTTTCGGTAATTTATGTAAAGAAATTTCCAATATGATATATTTATTTAATATGAAAGTCTATGAACGGGAAGTCAGATACAAAAATTCGTCCTTTTTATTTTGCATGTTTCGCACAAGAGGAGACATTCGGTATTTCAAGCACCGCTTCCGTTTTCAATCGGAACTCCTCGACGATTATTCTTTATCCTCAAAGTTGCGATTATTCTGTTATCTGAATACTCGCCGAGTACCAGTGAGTTACATAAAAATGGCTGTGCCCAAATAGGAATGACACTGAAAATTTCAATGATAGAAAATGAAATCTATATATTTTTGAATATTTTTATTTGGTTCCCTTTCAAATATACACGTGTAATCTATAGCCGGGCAAGTCAAAGAGCCCGCTTCGCCTGTCAGCCTTTGACTTCCCGTATTAAATTTGCGTGAGTTATATATACCAAAGTTCATAATATCACTAGGATACAGCTAAGTTACAGCAATTTTGATATCAATATATTGTGAACAAAGATGTAGCTTCCTTCGCATTTTCAAAATAAAAAGGAGAGAGTAGAAAAGTAATCAAAAGAAATCATTATTAACTACGTAAAATAAATGTAATTCAATCAATAACTAGGAAAGAATAAAGTAATTTCATGCAATCGTAATCACAAATTACTCGTTATTGCAATGTGATCAATATATATATATAAAGATTAATGTGCCCGAAGTCTGGCGTTCTACTATACTTTTTAGGTAATTATGAATTTCAGCCTCCCTGTTAAATATGCCACAATATCATAATTCTTATAAAAAAATTCACAGAGCCACAGTGTCATAATAATCATACAGTTATATGTTTTGTCTGTCAAACAAGTATTTTTCTACAACGATTTAATATGTTTTCTACAGCGATACACTTTATTTGAGATTTAAGATAAATATCATGTTTCAATGAGGAGTTATTCTTGAACCTTTTGCTGTTCGCCTTTTTTATTAACGTTCCTTACATATAAATGTCAAACCAAATATACGAGTTTTGGGATAGATTTACATCAGTTTAATTAAAAGCACTCTCGTAGTGTTTAAAAATGGGGCAAAATGGGGTAAATATAAAGATATTTTATATAGAAATACCTAAAAAAATCACATGTGAGGACAGAACACATAGTTGTTATTTTGAAATATATGAATGATAAAAGAGCACCCGTCTTTGTTACTTTTGGTTTTCTCGGACTTTAAGTTTTACAATTTAGGTCACGGGACAACTTTCTAGCTTTACTGGTGAAAAAAAACAAATGCATTTAGTAAAATTTCATTACTGTTTATTTTGAATTTGAATAAGAATATGTTTCTGTGTTAAAAATCTTATCTATTTTTGTCAAAGATAGACATATTTAACATTATTTGTGCTGTTATTTGTGATATTCTTTGCGTTATTGTCAAAACCATTTAAATTGAAACTCGAGCTAAATCTATCCATTACAAGGTTTACAAAAAATGTCTGATTTTAAGTTTCAAATGCCTTTTACGATTGCAAATGTTTTATTAATAAAATATAGTCGGAAACTTACCTTCGCATTTTGTTTTAAAAAAAACTGCATATCCAATATTGCAAACGCATTTACCGGTATGCGCATCACATATACTATTACCATCAACAGTACAGGCATTGTTATCATAACTGCAATCTACCGATGTGATAATTGCTATAAAAGACAAAGACATTTATCAAAAATATTATACTTTGCATTTGTATCACAGCATATATGAACAAAATGTTTCTGTAAAAATTGAAATTTCCATTTTTGTCCATAGATAGATAGATAGATTGATAGATTGATAGATAGATAGATAGATAGATAGATAGATAGATAGATAGATAGATAGATAGATAGATAGATAGATAGATAGATAGATAGATAGATAGATAGATCCTGTTTGTAAATTTAGCAATATTTGTACTTTAATTCTTTTATTTCGTGATTAAGTTTTACAAAGAAAATGGTCACTTCCATCTTATGTAATCTGGATATAAAACCTTTTTTCTTATGCTTATTAGACGAATTAAAATACATAGCATAGTTATTACTTTTAATACCTTTTAGAAACAGCCTCTTGCTCGTTTATTACCTGTACATGTATAACCATCAGCCTCAAGGTTATGTCCAGTGTAACACGAACAAGTAAATGATCCTTCAGTGTTCGTGCATCCGCCATTGGTATCGTCACAGTTGTCAGCATTTGTAGTGCATTCATCTATGTCTAAAAAAGCAAAATTATTGATAATTAAATATAAATACACTTCAAACCTGCACATTAAACATTGATACAGTAGCATCATATTAGGATCTGCTATACATATCTGAATATCACCTCAAGCATAAATTAGCGCTTTCAAGTACATGTATAACAAGAAATGCCTGATATTATATTTTAAAAGCATGCTAACATCCCAAATATTTAATAATTTCAATATTTTCGAAAACGTTTCGGTTTCAGTTACCTCGGCATTTTGTGTCTATAACTGCAAATCCACTATTGCAAATACATTTTCCGCGTGTCGTATCACATTCACTATTACCATCAACACTACAGGCATTGACATCAGAACTGCAATCCATCGATGTGGTTATTTCTACAAAAACATAAATATTAAAATTTCATAACTTTGAATTTTCGATCGGTATGAAAACATGTATTTAGAAAATGTGTCTGTGAAAATTGTTTTTTCTAATCCATTAGGATGGATAGACGATAAATAGATAGATAAATAAATAGAATGACAGATAGACAGACAGACAGAATGACAGACAGATCGATATATCGATAGATTTTTGTTTTACTTCATTTTTGCTTCATTTTTAGTGTTCTTTGTCAAATCCATTTCAAATCAAACGAGTCACCTTTAAATTCATTTATACCTAACAAGTCTACCAAGAAATGTTTGATTTTATTTTCACAAAGTCTAAAAAGTATCCAATATTTAATGAATAAAATATTATCAGAAACGTCTCGGTTTGACTTACGTTCACATTTTGTTCCTGTTATTGCAAATCCAAGTTTACATACACATTTACCGTTAGTCGTATCACATTGACTATTGTCATCAACACTACAGTCACTGTCATCATTACACGCTACTGATGTGATTATTGCTACGAAACACAAAAAAGTTAATAAAAAAAATCATTTTGTATATTTTCGAATTGTATTTAAAAAAGTATTCACGAAATGTGTCTGTGAAAGACTAGATATATAGATAGATAGATTTTTGTTTAAATATATTTGTGCTACAATTCCTTGTGTTTTTGCCAAATCCATTTAGCATCAAACGCGTCACCTTTATGTTTTAACTCCTGTCAAGTTTACCAAGAAATGTCTGATTTTATTTTCAAAGACCCTATAGCGTATCCAATATTTAATGAATGAAATATTATCAGAAACGTATCGGTTCGACTTACGTTCGCATTTTGTCCCTGATACTGCAAATCCAGTTTTGCATTCACATTTACCGTTAGTCGTATCACATTTACTATTGTCATCAACACTACAGTCAGTGTCAGTAGTACACACTACAGATGTGATAATTGCTACAAAACACAAAAACATTAATAATAGATTTCTTTTTGTATATTTTCTAATTGTATTTAAAAATGTATTCACCAATTGTGTCTGTGAAAGACTAGATATATAGATAGATAGATATAGAGATTTTTGTTTAACTTTATTGGTGCTACAATTCCTTGCGTTTTTGCCAAATCCATTTGGCATCAAACGCGTCATCTTAACGTTTTTACTTTCTTTCAAATTTATCAAGAAATGTCGGATTTTATTTACAAAGAGCCTATAACGTATCCAATATTTAATGAATGAAAGATCATCACAAACGTCTCGGTTTGACTTACGTTCGCATTGTGTTCCTGTTACTGCAAATCCAGATTTACATTCACATTTATTGCTAATCGTATCACATTGACTATTACCATCAACACTACAGTCATTGTCAACCGTACACACTACCGATGTGATAATTGTTACTACACACAAACAAATTAATACAAAATTTATATAACAGTATACCTACGTATTATATGTAAAATATACATTTTCATAAAGAAGTGAACGATATTAAAAGGCAAACATTTGGCGCATTTCATCTGAAATTACAAATTGATATTACCCAAAGCAGGATAGGGATTAGATTAGATTTCTTTTAAAAGCAGCCGTATTTGGTGTTGAATTCATAGTCTTATTTTATAATTCCTTAATGATTACATAGACGTGCATTTTGATACTAATTTCATCTAAATCGACAAATATTTGACCACTTTGGAAGCGAAAGTTCGACGTTAAACTTTCTAAAATTGATGAATTGGTCGGCCAAATACGGATAGTGATGAACTTTCTAGATAAACGCAATGCACATTATTTCTAATATTAATATTTTTACATCATTGCACATCGTTTTGAATAAAAATTTAAACATTCTGAAGAGTTCATGTGCATATTTAAAGACTATTATTAAATTTAAAAAATACGATTTCAGTGATTTAGAAGCTAAATTTGGACGTTGCATACCTGAAAATGTAATTACATCTGCAAATTACAGGTGAGGCGGTAAGATTATTTTCATTTTGCCATTTAAAGTCTTGATTTAAAATAGAATTGCAAGTTTTAATGTGACAACTGTTTCATAACGCACAATCTACGATCATGTATGTAACAATCCAGTGGTATTTACGTTATTTAGACTGAGGCAAATTTCGGCGCATTTTTTATTGAGTTCCTAATCGATCTTACGCATAGCATGGTATGTGTTAGATTTCTTTAAAAAAAAACAGGCGTATTTGATTTTGGATTTAAAATCTTCTCATTAATTCCATCAACAATAAATAGGCGTGCATTTTGATACTAATTTCATTGAAATCGACCGACATTTGACCAAATTGGAAGCAAAAGTTCAACGTTAATTTTTTTGAATTTTATGAATTGAGCCGCCAAATACGGATAGGGGTAAACTTTTTAAATATACGCAATGCACATCGTTTTGAATAAAAATTTACAACATTCTAAAGAGTTTGTTCATGTGCACATTTAAAAACTATTATTAAATAAATAGAATGAGATTTCAATGATTAAGAAGCTGAAATTGAATGTTGCATACCTGAAAATGTTATTATACCTGCAAATTATAAGTGAGGCGGTTGGATTATTTATTATTGCTGTTAATAGTCTTGTTTTCAAATAAAATTCCATATTTTAATGTGAATACAGTGTCATTATGGACATTCTTCGATCATGTTTGTAAAACTCGAGTGGTATTTACGTCATCTAGAGGGAAAGCTCGGCGCACCTTTTTTGAATTCCAAATTGACCTTACACAAAGCAGGGTTAGGGGTTATATTTCTTTTAATGTCATCCGATATATTTAGTGTTAAATTTAAAATCCTATTATATAATTCCTTGGCAAAAATTTGGCGTATTTCATCTTAAATTACATATTGATATTACGCAAAGCAGGGTAGGGATTAGATTTCTTATTATATAAATTCCTTAGATAGATAGATAGATAGATAGATAGATAGATAGATAGATAGATAGATAGATAGATAGATAGATAGATAGATAGATAGATAGATAGATAGATAGATAGATAGATAGATAGATAGATAGATAGATAGATAGATAGATAGATATTTGTTTTTCCTTTTTTTGATTCAATTCTTTGTGTTTATGTCAAATCCATTTCAAATAAAACATGTCACCTGTAAAAAAATTTATACCTTACAAGTTTACCAAGAAATGTCTAATTGTATTTTCAAAAACCCTATATAACGTATCCAATATTTAATGAATAAAATATTATCAGAAACGTCTCGGTTCGACTTACGTTCGCATTTTGTCCCTGTTACTGCAAATCCAGTTTTGCATTCACATTTACCGTTAGTCGTATCACATTGACTATTTCCATCAACACTACAGTCAGTGTCAGTAGTACACACTACAGATGTGATAATTGCTACAAAACACAAAAACATTAATAATAGATTTCTTTTTGTATATTTTCTAATTGTATTTAAAAATGTATTCACCAATTGTGTCTGTGAAAGACTAGATATATAGATAGATATATTTTTGTTCCGTACACACTACCGATGTGATAATTGCCACTAAACACAAACAAATTAATACAAATTTTCATAACTGTATACCTACGTATTGTATGTAAAATATATATTTTCAAAAAACGATATTTAGTGAACCATATTATTAGGCAAAAATTTGGCGCATTTCATCTGAAATTACAAATTGATATTACGTAAAGCAGGTTAGGGGTTAGATTTCTTTTAACAGCAGCCGTATTTGGTGTTGAATTTAAAATCTTATTTTATATTTCCTTAATCAATATATAGACGTGCATTTTGATACTAATTTCATCTAAATCGACAAACATTTGATCACTGTGGAAGCGAAAGTTCGACGTTAAATTTTTAACATTTATGAATTGGTCGGCCAAATCTGGATAGTGGTAACTTTTCTTAATAAACGCAATGCACATTATTTCTAATATTAATATTTCTAAAACATTCTCAAGAGTTTGTTCATGTGCATACTTAAAGACTTTTATTAAATAAAAAGAATACGATTTCAGTGATTTAGAATAAAAAATTGGACGTTGCATACCTAAAAATGTAACTACATATGCAAATTACAGGTGGGGCGGTAAGATTATTTTCATTTTGTCATTTAAAGTCCTGATTAAAAATAAAATTGCAAGATTAAATCTGACAACTGTATTATAGCGCACAATCTACGATTATGTATGTAATAATCCAATTGTGGTTACGTTATTTAGAGGCAAATTTCAGCGCATTTCTTTACTCAGTTCCAAATTGATCTTAAGCAAAGCATGGTAGGTGTAAGATTTCTTTAAAAAAACAGGCGTTTTTGATTTTGGATTTAAAATCTTCTCATTTAATTCCTTCAACAATAAATAGACGTGTATTTTGATATTAATTTCATTGAAATCGATTGAAATTTGACCAAATTGGAAGCAAAAGTTCAACGTTAATTTTTCTAAATTTTATGAATTGATCCGTCAAATACGGATAGGGTTAAACTTTTTAAATAGACGCAATGCACATCGTTTTGAATATAAATTTTCTTACAACTTTCACAAGAGATTGTTCATGTGTACATTTAAAAACTAATATTAAAAATTTAGAATACGACTTGACTGACTTAGAAGATAAAGTTGAACAGTGCATACTTGAAAATGTTATTATACCGGCAAATTACAGGTGAGGCGAAAAGATTATCTTAATTTTGCAATTTAAAGTCTTGTTTTAAAGTAAAATTTCATATTTAATGTGACAGCAGTGTCATTACGCACAGTCTATTATCATTAATGTAAACATCGAGAGAAGTTAACGAAATTAAGAGGCAAACATTTAGCGCATGGCAGATAGATAGATAGATATTGTTTGTAAGTTTAGCAATATTTGTTCTTTAATTCTTTGATTTCGTGCCTAACGCATTACACGTAAAACGGTCACCTCTATCTTATGTAATCTGGATATAACACCTTTTTCCTTACGCTTATATATACATCAGATGAGTTATAATAATACATAGCATAGATATTACTTTAAATAACTTTGATAAACAGACTCATGCTCGTTTATTACCTGTACATGTAAAACCATCAGCCTCCAGGTTATATCCAGTGTTACACGAACAAGTAAATGATCCTGCACTGTTCGTGCATCCGCCATTTGTACTATCACAGTTGTCCGTATTTGCAGTGCATTCGTCTATATCTGAAAACAGCAAGTTATTGGTAATTAGTTACATCTACATTTCAAACCTGCACATTAAAAATTGATACAATAGCATCATATAAGCACCTGATTGAAGTCTCTGATTATCACCTCTATCATAAATTAGCCCTTTCAAGTATAACATGAAATGTCCAAAGACTGCTAAGATCCCAAATATTTAATGAATTTAATATTTTCGAAAACGATCCGGTTTAAGGTACCCCCGCATTTTTTGTCTATAACTGCAAATCCACTATGGATAGATGGATGGATGGATGGATGGATGGATCGATCGATCGATCGATCGATCGATAGATTTGCGTTATTGTCAATACCATTTAAACTGAAACTCGAGCTAAATCTATCCATTACAAGGTTTACAAAATGTCTGATTTTAAGTTTCAAATGCCTTTTACGATTGCAAATGTTTTATTAATAAAATATAGTCGGAAACTAACCTTCGCATTTTGTTTTAAAAAAAACTGCATATCCAATATTGCAAACGCATTTACCGGTATGCGCATCACATATACTATTACCATCAACAGTACAGGCATTGTTATCATAACTGCAATCTACCGATGTGATAATTGCTATAAAAGACAAAGACATTTATCAAAAATATTATACTTTGCATTTGTAATTTGTATCATAGCATATATGAACAAAATATTTCTGTAAAAATTGAAATTTCCATTTTTGTCCATAGATAGATAGATAGATAGATAGATAGATAGATAGATAGATAGATAGATAGATAGATAGATAGATAGATAGATAGATAGATAGATAGATAGATAGATAGATAGATAGATAGATAGATAGATAGATAGATAGATAGATAGATAGATAGATAGATAGATAGATAGATAGATAGATAGATAGATAGATAGATAGATAGATAGATAGATAGATAGATAGATAGATAGATAGATAGATAGATAGATAGATAGATAGATAGATAGATAGATAGATAGATAGATAGATAGATAGATAGATAGATAGATAGATAGATCGTTTTGAATAAAAATTTACAACATTCTGAAGAGTTTGTTCATGTGCACATTTAAAGACTATTATTTAATAAATAGAATGAGATTTCACTGATTTAGAAGGTGAAATTGAATGTTGCATACCTGAAAATGTTATTATACCTGCAAATTATAAGTGAGGGGGTTGGATTATATATTTTTGCTGTTAACAGTCTTGTTTCCAAATAAAATTCCATATTTTAATGTGAATACAGTGTCATTATGGACATTCTTCGATCATGTTTGTAAAACTCGGGTGGTATTTACGTCATCTAGAGGCAAAGTTCGGCGCACCTTTTTTTCTGAATTCCAAATCGATCTTATGCAAAGCAGGGTTAGGGGTTATATTTCTTTCAATGTCAGCCGATATATTTAGTTTTAAATTTAAAATCCTATTATATAATTCCTTGAACAATATATAGACAGGCATTTTGTTACTAATTTCATTGAAATCGACCAAAATTTCACCAATTTGGAAGCAAAAGTTCGACGTAAAATATTTTCTAAATTTTATTAATCGGTCCGCCAAATCCATACAGGGTTAATTCTTTTAAATATACGCAATACACATCGTTTTGAATATAAGATTTCCCACAACTTTCTCAAGAGATTGTTCATGTGTACATTTAAAAACTAATATTAAAAAATTAGAATAAAATTTGACTGACTTAGGAGCTAAAATTGAACAGTGCATACCTAAAAATGATATGGCAATGAGGAGAACAGATTATCTTAATTTTGCCATTTAAAGACTTGTTTTAAAATAAAATTTCATATTTATTGTGACAACAGTGTCATTACGCACAGTCTATTATCATTAATGTAAAAATCGAGAGAAGTTAACGAAATTAAGAAGCAAAAATTTGGCGCATTTTATCTAAAATTACAAATTTATTTTACGCAAAGCAGGGTAGGGACTTGATTTCTTATTATATAAATTCCTTAGATGGATGGATGGATGGACATACTTAGCAGACGTGTTTGTGGGGTTATATCTTTGATCTCTTAACCCCACAAGAGCAATTTTTTTTAACCCCATAAGAACATTTTCAACCACATAATACATGTCTCTACGGAATGAACCCCATACAGAGTGCCTGTACATAAACCTAAACCTCATAATGTAGCTCTCGTCTGCTTGGATAAATGGATGGATGGATGGATGGATGGACGGACGGACGGACGGACGGACGGACGACAGACAGACAGGCAGGCAGGCAGGCAGGCAGGCAGGCAGGCAGGCAGGCAGATAGATAGATGCTAAGATCCCAAATATTTAATAATTTCAATATTTTCGAAAACGTTCCGGTTTCAGTTACCTACGCATTTTGTGTCTATAACTGCAAATCCACTTTTGCAAATACATCTTCCGCTTGTCGTATCACATTCACTATTACCATCAACACTACAGGCATTGGCATCAGAATTGCAATCTACAGATGTGGTTATTTCTACAAAAAACATAAATATTATAATTTCATAACTTTGAATTTTCGATCGGTATGAAAACATGTATTTAGAAAATGTTTCTGTGAAAATTGTTTTTTCTAATCCATTTGGATGGATAGATGATAAATAGATAGATAGATAGATAAATAGAATGACAGATAGACAGACAGATAGATAGATGGATGGATGGATGGATGGATGGATGGATGGATGGATGGATGGATGTATGGATGGACGGACGGACGGACGGACGGACGGACAGACAGACACATAGATAGATAGATCACATTAAAAACAGAAGAGGTCACTAAAGGCGGAACATAATGTGGTCCTATCAGTAAATTATAATTATTGACTAAGGGAACTCTTAAACATTAATGTCAAAACCATAAAAAAATATTTATAAAAGAAAGCAAGCTAACACAATTGTATTTTTAACAGAAAGCAAGCTAACATAATTGTATACAGTTTTCAAGGAAAGACCTGAGACTAATAAATAAAATCTTCGTTGAATCCTTTTGCCGTTATCTATATTAATATATGTTAATATAATGTAAACAATAATAAAAGAAGTATGCAACCAAAATTGCTTGAAGGTCATTTTTGCAAATAAAATTCGCTTCAACAAATTATTTGTGTGTTTTTAAAACTTTATTTGGTACACAGAAATGAAAACATTTATACAGTATTGCCAGACACGTTTAATGGTTTGTTTGATGAACTTCAAAACTTACATAAGTCCTGTTTGGTTCAATGCATGCACTTTATGATAAAATGTATTTCAGAAAATGAGATTCAATTTAAAATAAGCTAAAATGTGTTATTATCAACTTTTTGCTCACCAGAACTGAAGGTTCAGGGTGAGCTATTAGTATAAACGAGGGATGATCTGGCGCCCGTCGTCGGTCGTCATGCGTCAACAATCGTCTTCTTCTCTGAAACTGCTGCGCAGATTTACTTCAAATTTTGTCTGTATAATCCTTGTGACAGTCACACATGAATTTGCTCATGTCATTACAATTGGCCCTTGTAGGGGTCAACAGAGCTAAACTTACAAAAAACCTTAAAACATCTTCTACTACAGAATTAATTGATGGATGATCACCAAACTTTGTCTGTAGCATTCTTTGGTAGTCTTATATCAAGTTTGCTCATATTGATTTGATTTTTCCCTTTTAGGGGCCACCAAAGTTAAAAATAGAAATACCTTTAAATGTCTATTTCTACAGAACTAATTGATGGATGATCACCAAACTTTGTCTGTAGCATTCTTGGGTAGTCTAATATCAAGTTTGCTCACATTAATTTGATTGGCCCGTTTTAGATGTCTCAAGAGATAAAAATAGGAAGACCTTTAAAATCTTCTTCTACAAAACTAATTGCTGGATGATCATCAAACTTTGTCTGTAGCATTCTTGGGTAGCCTTTTATCAAATTTGCTCATAAATATTTGTTTGTATTTAAAATTTATTTGATTTTAGGTGCCGCTAAAGCTTTAATACCCCAGCTCATGGCATGTCTTCAAACTATTGTCTATGCTTAAATTTGATATTAAAAATATTGACATTGGTTAATTTCCAACGTTGAAAAGCAGTTGTTTCTGGTGAGCGACTTAGGGCCATCATGGCTCTCTTGTAATATTTGAGTAAACCTTGATGTTTAGTAATAAGATCATATTTACCTGCGTTAATACGGGTCATCAGCAAGACAACTATTGCGACACCTTGAAGTTGAGAGAAAAACATCTTCTTTTATCTTAAAAAAAGAATTAGAAATTAATTGCTTTGAGAAATACATTATTGTAACAATTGTTAGTAGCAGGATATAAAAATACTATAAGTTATAATAGGTGAACATGAATTATCATTACAAATTAAAGCAGAATTATATGAATTCATGTCAGCAGGAGATTATTCATAGTACTTTAGTGACAGTGATGTAATTGTATTTCAGTAAATTTAAGCCCAATGTTTTATCAAAATTACAGAACATGTTGTTTCATCTTTAAATGTTTGAAGTAACTATATTTCAGACAGTGTGTCCACTTGTTAATCTATCCACCTGCACATAATACTCCAATTGGGTGTTGCAGTATAAATAGATAACCATTAAAATTTTGTGGAAGTTACTAAACGTTTTCAATCGAAAATGATATGTTGTGGTGGTAAATTGCTTTGATAATGAGTAAACGTGCCTTTCATATTCGAAGATAAATATATCATTATGGTCAAATATTGTAAACACTAAACAATATATTTTAAGAAATATTTCTACTTGGATGGTAAAATTACTATTATAACAAATCCTGTATGATGTTAATTTTACATCTATACAATTGCACTACTTATACGGTTTGCCTAAACTGCTCGCTTGTAGATCAATAAAACAATTCACAAACTGTCACCAGAATGACCACCGTATGCACACACTTTGTTATTTATCATCTCTTTCTGATGTGATAGGACTCGACACTTAGAAAATGCATGCATCCAAAGAAGCATATTGAAACTTGAAGCGTTTATTGCTAATCTGTGCTTAGATGTTAAAATCACTGCTGTAATATGGAAGTTGTTTCATTTTCTTCCTGTCCGGTCGTTGTATTCTCCAATTAACTGCTAAAAATACCAACAACTTATTGTTCAGCTACAATACTTTTGTTTTGTATATCAATTAAAATGTTCACGTAATTTCAATGATGGTTGCATGATATATATTTTAAATAAAAAACTAAAGAGCTCATCTTAATTCAAACCTGAACTTAAGCTGCAGATCAAGGAGAAAGGTGATATGTGAACATATATCTTGACATTGTATCATCTAAGGTAGCCTTGATCTTTGACCCGGTGACCTGGTTCATCTGCAAGACACGAAGTCTCGTGATGAACATTTGTGCCTAATCTTGAAACTCGCACCCACACAACAACGAATAGTCAATTCGACAACTACGTCGGGCTCAGCGCAAGAGGGCTCATCAAATAAACAAAAGACTTCAAAGCATAAGCAAAATACAGAGCAAACAAAGACATTGTTATAATTTTATTTGACCTTTAACCTCTTGTGACCTTGACCTACAGACGGACTGATGCACGGACACACATACACCGAAAAATTACGCTAAAAGTGACGACAAAGTCGAGCTCACTGCAAGCGGATTTGACACTAGATATAAATAAATCATTTTCATAACACAATACATTTAGGACATGTCATGTTGCATTTGTTTCTTTTAATTTCATGACTGTAAAAACTTATAAATTGATTTCAGAAATAGTGTTACTGTTATTCTTTAACATGAATTTCATATACTTGTACACCTTGTTTGAACTGCTGTAAAGAAACGAAATGTTTAGCAAGGCGTGAGATGAGGCAAATATTTTCAATGTTAAAATTGTGTAGCATTATAGTCGAGGAAATATAATGTTTATTCAAAATCTAACAGAAACAATAATGAGTAAAAATGAGTGGCTTATCTTCAACTAACAGTTCACAACTTTTGATAAGCGTCTATTGACAAGACTTGTTATTTTCGAAGTTGATATGCGAGAATAAATTGTATTATCACAAGGTTATACTACGAATGGCTTCATTGTAAATAAGATGCAGCCGAAACATGCAAAGTCATGAACAAGAATAGTATAATAAAATAATATTGGCGTGTGTTGCAAAAAGACATATTTTGCAAAATTACATTAATTTGTTTGCTGAAATTTGATAACTTCGATTTCTACTTCATAAAGGATATTAAATTTTTATGAGTTCAATATTGACATAAATGAACGAGTTGAATAGAACTATACTTTTATTCAACGGGTGCAATAAATTCAGTAATGAACCTACACCAATATAATATTCTACTTATCACATAACAAAACAATTATCTTTTAAAAAGATACTCGGCCAAAGTATAACTGTTTTACAGGTAAAAATAGGTTATTTTTAAGTTTTCAATACAAAAGAAATATTAGCAATGCTGGCATAACAATGAAATAGATAATTATTTCTTGTAGCTATACAGAAAAAACCCATTTTGTAAACATTGAAATTGATTTATAGCAAATTGATATTCGATGATTTTTCAAAGAAGAACAACTTCTGTTCAAGCTGTCCTTTTATTTGTTTTCCGTTTGATTTGAAAAGTTTTGTAATCATTTACACAGTTACATATTAACATAAAAGTTCAAGAACTATCATCATTCCTGTGCATTTTATTTTAGAACTATACTTTACATTTTATTTTATAGTGACAAAACTATCCCTTACATTTTATCATAGAGCCATCTAAAAAAATATATTTTAGAATGGTAAGAACTATCCTTTACTTTTTATTAGAAAGGTTAGAACTGTCTTTTACATTTTATTTTAGAATGACCAATTGGATTCATCGATTTCAGTTTGTAATTTAAAATTACCAATGAATATTCTTCTTATTATTCAGTCCTTCCCTGTTAATTTTATAGGAAGTCAAACCGGTAACAGACGGACTTCGTCCGATAAAAGACTGCTTAAAGTGAAAAAATATAGGAGCGAAGTTTAAACTTTTTAAGTGATTTTGTTTCTGTTAATCTAAAAATTGTTGCTTTGTTTTTGTGTGACCTAAATTTAAAATAACCAGTCCGAAAGCCAAGTTTCACCGTAAACCATTTAAGAAAGTTCAACAGCAAATGAGTATGTAATTTGACTTACAGTTAAGGCTCAGTATAATGAATAACTTATCCTAATTATTTAACTAGTGAAAATATTTTACCATTAGTGTTATCTAATGTTATTACCCAGAACAAATGGTATATATGGATTTGTTTATTCAAATCTAAATGTAGCAGTTGCATTTCTCCTAACCTTGCACTGTTGAACTTTAGATGTTTATTTTTTCTTTGAACAAATACTTAAATAAAGTAGGCATCAAATACGCAAGTAGCTGTGTGTTATTTAGAAAATCAATCAGAATCACTTACATATACATATGAATTGTGTAATTTGAACCTACCAAGAATACTCCTTATTAGCTTTAATGATAATGTGCAAACATCCGAAAAGTAATTTTGATTTTGATTTATCTACCTATCTACTGAGTAATTTCGTTAAATCTCTTTTTGTTGCATGGTTTAAAGTTATAAGCTCCTCTATTTTACAAAATTGTTTCATTAAAAGATTATATGAAAAAAAAGACAGAAAAAAAACAACTTCAAAATAGGAGCGACTTACACTTGCACAAAATCGTTGCTAAAACGTAAACTCAACTTAATATACCAGCATGATATTTTGTTCAGGGGCATTATATTTTTTATTTACGCATAAATAGTCGTGTGTAAAAAATAGAACATTCCACGTTTCAGGTCATTCGAAATTAGACTATAGAATTACGAAAATAACATGATTGTACCGTTTATAAAGTTTTTAGAAATCTTTCATCAGAACTGATACTTTTAACCGTCTGTTTGTTCCTTTTTGATACATGTAATATTCCCATGTAGCTGACGTATATTTAGGAAATAACATCGGTCTTAGCGGTTTGTATCGGCTATTTAACACCGATTTGGAGTTTGAGCCGTCTATAGTGATTAAATCACGTGGAGTGTTAGAATTACGAAATAATATCGGAGTCAGCGGTGTTTATCGGTGATCTAACATCGGTTTGGAGTTTTGTTGCGTAGGAATTGACCACGAAGACCGTAGGCCTGAGTGGTTAATTCTACAGCATCAAAACGACAAAACCGGTGTTAAATAGCCGATAAACACCGCTCAGACCGATATTATTTCGATTCTAACATGATAAAATAAGGATTATTAATGTTAGTTTTTCAAGCGGAAATCGCACCCGGTGCCGATTTTCTTATAACGCTTTCTGATTTCGCACCCTATTGTTGCTAAGATATAGAAATCATTAAACAAAAGAAATAATTCGAAAAAAAGTTATTTTCTCAAGTTTTCATCAATAAAAACTTACGTCTTAGAAAGGATTGTAGTGTGTTTACGTCAGTGCCCAATTTATTATTCTTGTATGTTTGAAATACGTCAGCGTATATGAATGAGTTTTATACTTAGTATGACGTCATTACGCTGCTTACGGGTTGGCGCCATTTTGCCAAAATAATTATTAAATAATATGGATCAAATCTGTTGCGTTAGTGTATGTGAGATATTATTTCGGTATTGTATGAAAAGAAAACATTATAAGAACTGAAAGTATAAATTAAAAATGCTTTTTTATTGTTTCTTTTAAAGGCTTTGTAAACTATATAATTGAGGAAGAAAACATAACAGCCGCATATACAAGTAGTCCCTAACGAGTGTTTATCGGTTTTTCTTCTTTGTCTATAGTGACAAAATCACGAGGAGTGCTAGAATAACGTTTCGTCTATTCAAGCAAAAGAGGTTTAAGACGCGAATTATAATAGGATACCTATTACACAAATTACTTCGGTGATGACCCTACATAGTAAAATTTTGGACGCCATAGGCTTAAGCCAGAAACAATTTTACTTTTAAAACTGATTGTGATCTGTGTAAAATCTTTAAGTCATATTGACTCATTTACAGTCGCTTGGTTACTGTCCAACTTCCCAGATGGAGAAAGACATAAAGTGTCATGATTTCAGGCATCATCGAGCACTCGAATAAAACAATCGACGTTTTACGCAAACTGTATGGAGTTTCCTAACATAAAGTAAGCCAAAGTATTTGGCGGAATTTGAACCCACATCGGTCATTATGAGCAATAAAAATGTGTGTAAAGGGATCGTTTACTAAAAATATGGATGTGTCACGATAAACAGGAAGCTGTCGTGAATCGAATTACGCCAGATGTGAAAACATATACATCGAATTACCTTAGTATACACAACATCATAAAATTTGCAGTGTAAAAACATTATATGGTACGATTTGATACAAATGATACTTTAAAAAGGTTAAGGCTATACAGATATGACTTTCGCAACGACGTAGAATGAAATTCATGGACTTGCGTTTTTTGTTTTAACTTTTTGATAAACTTTGAAGCGGAAGAAAACGATTTGCTTTTAATCAGTTTGGTTTATACAGAATTTATTTTCGTTCGATTGTGTAGGAAGCTATAAGCTTATAGACACACTTTCGAATCCGTTCCTGGAACCAACCGGTACTGAGCAATGAGTGTAAAGTTTCTTGCTCAAGGAAACAACGACTTGCCCCTGACGGGGTTTGAACCCATGCGGCTAGCGATCAATAGATTACTAGTCCACAGCGTTAACCACTCGGCCATGCCGCCACTAAGTTTATAGTTGCATTAACATACATCTACAGACGTAAATCTTTTGAAGAACTGTCAGAAAGCTATATAATATTTCATGACCTTTCCCTTTCTTTTTGTTTTAAAAAAATATCGAAACGTATATTTGATAATCTTTAACATATATTTGAATATAATATTGGTACAGTACTTAAAATGGTGCACGTGTAAGGAGAATATGGAAAACTGTGTAAATATTAGCTTAATATCAAGAAACAATCATCTATGAATAAATATATAACTTTAGTGAAGTTTTATTTCTTTTACATCACATGAAATTTGAAGAATATTTGTTTTCAAAGTTATCAATATACTAATAAGTTCTTAAAAACAATTAAATTAGTTTGGAACAAAAATCTTTAGTATGAACATTCTATCAAAAAAGGCAAAGGAAACGATATTTTTTGTTTTATAATAAACTTATGGCAGAAATAATATCTTAATTAAGAGCTATGACGCGATAAGTACCATTTTACAGCCCCTATTTTAGCAAATAACAAATATTTTACCATAATTGACGATCAGTCTTTCAGATTGTTAAAAATTATTGTAAATTTGAAATTAAACCATGTAATTAACCCTTACCATAGGGACGCCTTATGTCGTCCCAGCCTGTTATTTTCGACGTATTTGCCATATGGACGGCTTTTGCCATTTCTATAATAATAGTAATTAATAATAATAATAAATTAATAATAATACGAATAATAATAATAATAATACGAATAATAATAAAAATAAAAATAAATATAAAGAAAATTATACCATCGGCAATAATTATTATTATACTCACAGATTTGGAAACATATATAATTTTTATAATACTAATAACAAATAATAATAATTAAATTAATTAATAATATAGTAATTTCTTAGAAAACCCTCTGGCAAATAGGTGATCAATAAAACAATAACCGTCTGGCAGCGAAAGGGTCAATAATAGATTTTGTTTAAAGTTTATAAATTCAAATGATTTGCGGTGCAATATACTGGGTGCATTATCACGTGACAGTTGCTTACGGTAGCATCGGGTCACTGCTAGCGTTACCATGAAAAATGTCCCCTGATAACCTAGCCTGGCAATAGAGTGTTAGACGAACAGATATAAAATTTGAAGATATAGTCATAAATGATTACGATCACTTAACTTCAAAACGTTTTGAACATAACGTTATCCAGTGTCATTTGTGATTTCACCCCGCGCCCCCGCCATTTTAACTTGTTAATTCTCGACTTTTCGCTTGGCGGGGTCGCGGGACGAAAACACGCTAATTAGCGGGAGCGCGCGGCGAAGTTTTATTTTATTAAACTTCTTCGCGCGCCCCCGCTAATTAGCGTTTTTTCGCTCCGCACCCCCGCAAGTTTTAACTTTGTTAATTCTCGACTTTTTGTTTGGCCGGGGTCGCGGACGAAAACACGAATGGCACAAATCAGCCAAAATACGTGTCCGACGTTACAAAATTATACAAGCAGTTTACAACCCCCCCCCCCCCCCCAAAAAAAAAAAAAAATAAATAAAAAAATGAAATAAATTAAAATAAATAAAATACAAAACACACAAACAAATAAAAGCAAAAACATTTTAAGTTCATAAATTATCTTCAAAGTTTTTTACTTTACCCTTCAGTATTATAATCCAGTTTAAACTCCTATGATAGACTAAAGAAACTATTACATCAGATAATGCAGTAAAGGGTTTTAAAGTGTATTTTTTTACTGTAAGTTACACCAAACAACCGTTGCGTTTAACTTATTTCTTATTATGTGCTTCAGTTGCCGTAAACACTATCAACTTCCACCAACTAGATATAATGTTTTTAGAACATTTGCTATGTTTTGCATAATTTATATATTTATATATTTATATATATATATATTTATTTATTCATTCATTTATTCATTCATTCATTTTTGCATACAGTACCTTGTCATACATAAACAGGTTATAGGCTAAGCGTAAAATAGGGTGAATTGTGCACCTCTTGAGAAGCATGAAACTTGGCACAGCTGTTGGTTAATACAATCCTTTTGATATCCTAGGATCTAGGTTGTGCGAATCTAATATGGCCGTCAAAACCCAAGATGACCGCCATATATTAAAATTTGCAGAATAATTAAGTTTTTCATCTATAGTCATAACTAGAACAGTATGAAATAACAACAGTACATTATTAAACACATGACTTTATTTTCAAGCCTCGGATCAAGGTATTTTATAAAAAAATATCCCTCTTTTGCCTTACCAAATCTTGACATTTACGCTTTCACAACTGCGTGTATTAAGTATAACAGAACTTTCTTAGCGATTTTTATTTCTTGAAATGTTAAGTGGCTCTTAATACACAAAGGCATTTCGGTATTTGTTTAATATGTTGTTGTCAAGAGAATTACTTCTCATTCAACCATGTCATGCCGCTTTAATGTAATTGATGTATTGACGTCACAGTAATAGTTATATAACAGAAAACAACCAACATTCAATGTATTTTGATGTGTTAACACTTAAAGTGACATTATGCCCATTCAGTGGTATATAGTGAATGAACGGTGAACATCAAAAAATTTTCATTTTGTCATAATTCCTTTTAATTTTATAATTAAGTTCACATAAACAATCAATAACTCACAGATCCAAACGAAATTTCTGTAAATATCCATTAGAATTTACCTATAACGCTAAGTTTATAAAAAGCGTGAGGCAGTCTTTTTATATTTTAGGCAGATTTATAATTTTATCATTAACATTTTCCAATATCAATTTTTGGTCAAACACCATTTTGACTGTCAATCTTTTGAAATATAAAGTCAATTTAGCTTAACTGGACTATGAAAATATAAGCATAATGTCACTTTAAAGTTAGAATATATTCACCACTCAATTGTTGTGTTTGGACGACAGTTTTAATTTGTAACATTATAACATTTTAAAATTGGTTTTTAGTCACATTATTGTGACTATAAACAATTATTATTTGAATTGTACGTTAATATAAAGTTACAAGGATTTGACACGACATCTTATGGAATGACAGGAAGAGCCGGCAACAATAAGTTTTTTTTTTGCACATTTAATAAACTTATATGATAATATCTTAAACCGTGATATATTTTTCATAATGTCAAAACGTTTGTATAATTGATACATGAGTGTGTTTTTGTCTAGTCGTGACTTTATGTAATATTATTGTTAGCAAAGTTACACCATAATTTTAGAGCATTACCATTGCCAACATCTTATTGTTAATAGATATAATGGGACAAGCGATTTCTCTTTAGCCTTGTTATTGTTTTACTCTTGTACAATGTCATGCCGCTTTGCATTCTTAATGACTGACCTCGAAGCTGCAGATTCAAGCAGGGGTTAGCATTTTTCAGCGCTTAATATAATAGTTTTCATCATTTTGCATTGCTATGTAGCTTTCCTTGCATTATTCTGGGATTTGTTTTTAAAAAAAAACACATATTTTTCTCATTTATGACCAAAGTGTATTATTAAGTCATGGCCTCACCCCAACTACTTCTGTTATTTTATTCGTAATTTATTACCCCTGTACAATTAAAAACATGTATAAGGGGTATTCTGCAGTTCTAGGCGCTGCAATATAAACTTTGTATAGAAACATGTGTGAACGAAGATCTTGGATTCTATCATTGAAATAGAAAAGAAAATCGCTACTTAAAAATGAGATGTTTCTGATCTGCATGCATACATAATTACTCAATTTCTCCTACACGCATAAAGATGTCAAAATTTGTGTACGGGGACCATTTAGTCATCAATTTTTGAAGGATTGTAACACAAATGATAACTATCACGACTACAAGTGTTACACAAGTAATTTAGGTAAATATTTGCAAAGTGAAGGTCATAAAGTGAGGTGATACAATATCCAGATATTTTCCGGATATTGCCCAGAGCGTTTCCCCTATATGCATATCTATAATACCTACATCGCTGTCAAAAGCTTTTTTGACGGGCGTATTTTGCGACAATGTTTCAGCAATAACTTGGTTGTATCTCCTTCGAAACCTTTCCGCTGTAAAACTTAAAAGAAATAACACGAAAAAATAACATAAGAACTGCCCATCATAGTCTCGTATTGACTTAGTTAAATTTTCGGTCAATGGTAGGAAATTTCCGTAACAGTTTTCTCAGCAACTACTTATTACAGCCTCTCGATATTTGACATACATCATTGACACGTGATCTCATACCATGGGATTCGATTTCAGTTCTTTCGCTTATTCAATTCCTGTTCACTGACTTAGTTAAATTTTCGACATTAATTGTCAGTGGTAAATATATTTCGTAATATTACAGCATCATGATATTTTGTATAGTTTGCCAGACCTACATCAATTTGTACACACATTTGAAAAAATAAACATCAGTGAAGTCCCTTTTTATTATGTATGTTTTTGTTATAATCATAGTTTGCATTGAATGTGGGCGACCATAAAGCGGTCATTGTTAATAATAACTTAATTATATATTATAATTGTTCTAAAAAGAAATGCAACAATTCGAAAGATAAAATTGAATTAGTTTATCGTTTCATGCCATAGACATTTGTCAGAGATTGTTTCAATGATCTCTCGCTCAATGTTATGTTTTCTTCATTTCGAGCCCCATGTTACAGGTTGATTTAAATAACTTATTTCTGTTGATAGCACATAGATTTACCTTATTTCTGAAGCCAAAACATATATATAACTTATTTCGAAAGAAAAAACATAGTACAATTATCTCATTTTGGTAGATAACGCATAGATTCAACTGTCTTATGTCTGAAGATTTCTGAAAATATATTCAGCATATATCCAAATATTGATCTTAATCCTCAAATTTATCCTTATTTGAGCCTTTAGTTTTGTGTTTTATTATCATTACTATTTGTCGATGTCATCCCGACATAGGGATGATTCTGTGCAATTCAACATTTTTTTTCACATTTTGATTATTACTATTTAACTCTAGGAAATCACGATCAATTGTAGTTGATTTAAACATGGAAAATGAAATCAGGATCATTTAATCTTCATCCTGATCTTTTGTCTATGAACACGGGCCCAAATGATGACAAAATTACAAAGGGATGTCAAAATGCTTGCGTCTTCGGCTTCCTGACAATTTAATGAAATATGGAAGCATAAACTATTTCAAAGTGATCACGAACTATGTAAAATATGGCCAAGTGTGCATCTCATATGGATTGTTAGATGCATGGATTCGATCCCTATCAGGAGCACGCCATTAATCAGTGAAACGGGTTCATGCAAATAAGTATAAAGATTCCTACACAATTGAACATAAATAAATTAAGTGTAAATAAACTTAAATGCGGATGTTTTCGGTTGTATAGTGGTAATAACTAACAAGTGATTTGATAAAATATTAATAGTTTTCTATAAGGGAACCAGGCTGCTATAAGCCACCACTACATGACAGTAACGGAATCATTATAACCTAGGCTAAATGATCATGTTCCCTCGTCTCAAATGTTATATCTCATTAAAACTGATGAATACATAAGATAATTACTGGAGCTGTCTCCCTTGAATCATTTTAAATGATAATTGAGAATCATAAATCAACATATGTATCACACTCCTACAAATTATTAAATGACTGGAAAACTGCAGACAACTCGTTGGATATATTTCTATTTTATATTACCAATCTAAAAGACGCACGAGGAAAGTTTTACTGTAAAATTGCTTGAAAATGACCATTATCTGTCTAATCCAAATTACTAGATTAGTTAATTACAATATGAATTTCACAACAACGTATTAGTCAACAAAATAAAAAAAAATGCCGTTGTGTATGGCTAATCTATTGGCGTTCAAGTAATTGGAGAAATAATCTTTCAAATTAAACTTGTACCCCTGACTTGGAAATATAACTAAGAATATAAAATAGATAAGTTTGTGTAACAACATAACAGAGTATTTCTTTGGTGTAAACTGAGAAAGAATACTTAACACAATACAAACCGACAAACGCATATAAAAGGCAATTAGAGAGGTATAAGTCTGACCCATTTTCTATCGAGGAGTTTTAATCTATGAACTTGGATGATAAGTAATAGAGAGAGCATCGAAACACGAGGCTATCTGATTTGTACGAGGAGGCGTAGCCCCCCGAGTATTAATCAGATTGCCGAGTGTTTTGATGCTCTTTCTCTTTTGTATCATAGTCAAACATAAAAACACGTTCCATGTTTCACAATATGAAACACCAGAAAAAATGAACCAATGAACGAGCATCTGAATATGATATTTCTGTCGCTTTCCCTTTCTCTACCGTCACAATAAGTAAACCCCAGCAAAAATGAGCCAATCAATGGGCATGCTATGGAATGCGGGTAACTAATACCTGCACTCCAGTTAACGCACTGTGCATGTATATGTTAACGATTTAACTCTGACAATTTTCAACATTAAGGTCCCCAAACTATGATACAAGCAAGGTTATACGCACGCGTAAAATAGCTGCAAAGGAATTTTGTCGGCTGTGCACTGCATACTTCTGTGCAGTTTTTGAAATTAAAGGAGAAGCATTACGATATGTAAATTTTATGACGTCTTACTAGTATTACTCGTTTTAAACAGTGACATAACGGGTACCCTTTAGCCACCAATGTCGTATTGTGCCAGGAATCCGTCACCATATGTCTTGTACAGACTCAATCAAACTGAGTCTGCAATTCTCTTGTAATTTTGTTGTGATTAATGCTTCCGAGGGATCACTTTGTTTCCAGAATTGTATTCATATATAGACAGAGCTGAGTTGACCGTAATGGTTTGTCCCTTATGCCTAGGTAATTATTAGTGTTATCCTAATTAAACGATATCTAAACTTTTCTAAAAAATAGGACTAACAAAAAATCAATTTGAGCATAACATAGTTTACATGTATAAGACATAAAAGTCATCAGACCCGTTACCAAATCTAACCAAAATAAAAAAAAGCACACGCGTGACCTCGCTTTACTATATAAAAGGCGTCAATTAATTTTTTGAATCCGTACAGCACTATACAAATAATCTCAACACTTACAAAACCTTATAATATCACCATTAAGATGATACCTGTCTATATGGCTCATCATGAAGTCCGAGATACTGCAGATATAAAGACAGAAAGGAAGTCTTAACTAAACTTCTCTTATATTAAAAAATCGTATGTTTTGTCATACCAGCACTTTTTAAAGCTTGTGCAAGGATACATTGCGGTGACATATACAGATGTACGAAATAAATGATGGAATGTTTAAGTGCAAACACACTGTGTTTGTGCGTGATAAATGACCGACATACCTTATAAATATGTGAGCCATTACCTTAGTTCTTCATAAAAGCATCAAAAAGCTTAACAAAAGTTAAACTTAAATATTTGACATTAAATGAGATTTGTCATCATATTGTTATAAGAAATATCAGTTAATGTCAGTTAATTTCTTAATATTACCTTAAAATAGTGCACGTTTTATGTAAGCCAGATCCAGTACCTTACAAGACAAATAGTTCATGCAGTGCTTCAAACAATAGCTATAATGTACTACTTTACAAAATGATATATAAAACCTTAAGAGTTGCTGGTGTTACCGACGGAAACAAAGGTGGCATATCTGTTCAAGCAAGTGCAACAGGCGTTTATGTTAAGGAACCTTCAATCAAAAATCATTAGAGATATACGAGTATAAGTGTTTATAACTTGCATTTAAATATCATTTATGTTCTTTCTAAACATTTTAATCTTTCTTTGATACGAGTATACGAGTATATACAGGATATTCAATTTTTTTCTGTAAATACAGTATTTATTTCCATTGAGTGGTATGAAAATAAATATTTCATAAGTGGTGGTAGACGAGAAAACAACAAGGGACACAAGCAAAAGTGTCACCAAAACAGTATGAAACAACATAGACATACATCTGAGGAACACAGTGGGGCGCCGCCTTGGAACGGTCAGCAGCATAATAATGACTACTGGGGAGTTTAAACCGGTTAATGGTGCACCAAACCTCGCTCTTAGCCCCACAATGTTCCTATAAACGAGACAGTGTAAATAAAATGAATCCCCGCCAAGTGAAATTCTAACAGTTGTCATGGTTACAAAAGGTTAAATAAGTAAAACACTAAAATGATCATGTAGAAACATATAAAAGTAAACCCAATGACCATAACAAAAGTACTCAATGTCCTAAAGGAAGACAGAGCAACAAGAAAATCACCTACAAGGGCCCGACGAAGCAAGACAGAAGACGAACATTAAGACAATTCAGTCCCAAAGGGCTTTACGAACTATCCATCATAGAGTCTCCCACTTGGTCCGTCAGATGCAATCAAAAGAGGAAAGCGTAGTGTCCAACTGTAAAAGGGTTGAACACTAAACATGCAGTATGTCTTAAAATAGTAGGGTCATAACCTCTTTTAATAAAACGTTTAATGATTTTAGTAAAAACAGCAGAAAAATTACCATGACCCAAAATCTTACGAAGTTTGTTAACCACATCGCCATAAAAACCAGGCTGGCTAATCCCTTGTCGCAGATGAGTTTTTAAATCACTATTGAATTTAGAAATTAAATCAAAGTTACGTACCAAACTAAATTATTCTAGGTAGGGTTTATTATAATTCACTGATTATTGGCAATAACAAACACATATAAATAATAAAAATTATCAGCAGCAGGAATAAGGTGATGTTTTTTGTATTTTTCTGGCCCATCGAGGTCATTAATTCTTAAGATTGAAACACTTAAGCCGGTACTATAGGGCGTGATAATTGTTCCACCTTTTACATTATCTTTAATTAACAAATCCTTTCAAATGAGCCAAACGTTGTCATATTTTCTTGTTGTTTTCAATGCACCTGAGGGATTATCTCTTTTCCAGATTTTTTAAAAGTATTTTATCCAAAGAGGAGCATAGAATATATTTAAACTTTTCTAGAAAATAAAACAAAACAGTTGTAATAAAAACCCTTTCCAACTAAATTCATTCAAAATGTTTACACAAAAAGGGTAGCTTTAGCTGAATACATTGCTATCTTTTTCACTTTATGTACAAAATATATTGTGTTCGACTTAAATATACGAGCGTTAATTTTATATCTAAGTGAAATATTTCTGTCGATTGTTTCTTTACATAGTTGATATGGCTTCGTATGGAGATCTTGAATCCCTCATTTCTGTCTTGAGGTCAGTATATGGATTTTCATACCCTCCACTATCAGGGATATTTATAGAGTCTCCGATATGTATATTCCTTTTAAACAAAATGAAAATACTACATGACATTTTCCCATATATCTTACTAGAAAATACATGTGTTTATGTTTGCAAACTTTTCTTTATATGTAAAAATACCTTCAAAATGCTTACTAATCTTATTAGTGTGCATGTAAAATTGTCTCATAATGTTCGATCTTAGAATTTTCAGTAAATGTAGTTGAGAGATATGATATTATATTTCATTTATTTATGTTAATTAAAACACAAATCCAACACCAATGCGCAATTAATGTGATTATGCGTCAAACATTAAATTTGCAAAATAATGATGTCAGTAGTTATTCTTTTAACATGTATGCCCACCCTGACGCCTTTAATTGTTTGGCTGGTGCACCATCTGGCCACATCTTCAATATTATTCCAAATTATATGTCAGTAAAATACCTAAGTTTGAAGCGCTTGGTATAAATAGGAGGCCAGATTATCGTTAATGAACATGGGTTTATCTGAACTTTCTTGGTTAGTTTCAAATATGCGCAAAAATTGTTCAAAAGTGCGCAAATCTACCCAAAAAATTAATACAATATTATGTCACATTCTTGCAACAACGCTATGCGGACACACACGGTGTATGATTTACTATCTTTCACTAAAAATTTTCAATATTTAGTTTTTTCACGTAATTTAGTATTACTTTTTTAGCATGTGCGTTGACTTTGTGTTTGTTATGAAATTAAATTATGTAATATCATTTCAACTCTCTCATCTGAATATTTTGAAAATTTCACCATGATCTTGCCAATATTGATCCTAATATGGCACCATATATACATGTACACATATACGAATTTAATGAAGATTCTTATTATTCAGCATTATAGCACAATCATAACTTGTATTTTAGATACAATACTAATTTTTAGTTTACAAATTGTAATATATTTATACATTATACATTTATCATTAGATTTAATATTTCTTAAAGACACTTACACTTGACCGTCTATTTTCTGCGCGCGACCTGAAAAGTAAATGCTATCATTAAAACGTATTGCTACAGCATTTTCATCAATGATTTTCTAAATATAACTACTTTATATTAGCACATTCAATTTTACTAGCGTTTGTCATATAATGATATGGTTTGTGCAATAGTCTTTATGGGGAATAATTTGTATAAACTAAACATTAAAACACACTGAGATAAAATATATGAGATATAATGCTACAAAGGTATGAATGAGGGGGCCAAAATGGAAAGAACTATGTGACTGGTATGTTAAGTAAACAGTCATCATTGATTAACAAATAAATGAAATCTTTAATTACCATCCTTCTGGACAGAGTCTCGCGTTCTTTTCAGTTGGATTCTGACATAAATCGCATACGATATAACTACAACTACCACTACACTTAAGACAACTCCCACGATTAATGTAGTTGTAGTTTTAGTTTCTGTTTCAACTGAAAAATAAGTTCATTGTAATGATTAAATGTAATTATTTTGTGAAATTGTCAGCAAACCTTTAGTAAAACAATTTTTATTACACATTGTAACAGACATAAGACAGCTACAACTTTAAAAAGGGCTACTCAAAGAGGACATAACTATGAAAAATTAAAAATTTGAAACCAAATTCCAACTTGAAAAGTATCTAATGATGACACAAGTACATCTGTATACAAAATCAATTAATAAAATTGATTGCTTCCGTCTAGAAACCATTGAATGGTATAATGACACTCATGATTGATCCTATAACTTATACATAATTATCCATACGAAAATGCAGTTTTCTTATTTATTTTTTTTGGACTTGAACATTATTTCATTCACCTGTATGTAGTCTTATGTGTGACATAGCATGGGCAAATTCAATGACGTATAACAAATTATATAGAAGAGTGCATATAATGAATCATGTGATTACAAACTAAACTGATTTTTTACAATTTCATCCTGATATTCATATTTTTCTAACTTGTTTTACATGATGCTTACCTTTGATAGGTGACGTAGTAAAAATAAGAATTTCCGAAAGCGGACTATTTCCAACTTTGTTATATGCGTACATTCGTACAAAGTATGTTGTAGAATCACTGAGACCCGTCAGAATTTTAGAAATAGGTTTATCATTCTGTTCGACTTTATCTTGGACTTCTGTATCTTCCCAAGATCTTTCACCAGTTCCTAACTGTATAACAAACGTTTGTGTTAACCCTCCATTGTTGCCAGGTAACCACGATAAACGGGCTTTATTATACTGAATATAGTCTATTGTAAAACCTCTTGGTGTACTTGGTGGCTCTAGATAAATAAAGGTAATACTTAGTATGTCTAAAATGATTCATATTTTAGTATGCTTCTGTTTTAAAGCAGCACACCTCCAGATTCATGCTAATTTTCTAGAAAATTTAAAAATGTATTTAACAGAATATTATTGTAGGTTACCAAAGGAATGCAATTAACACATTATAAATGTCACTTACAACCTATGTAAATTACTATAAAGAGGTCAAAATATGGAAAAATAGCCATTGCTGCGTTAGTAACGCAGTAGAATTATAGTTATACATACTGAAAAATTCGGTTATTAGGCGCACATAACATGAAATTATTTACTCGAATTTTGATTTTTTATACCTTTCTTAAAATCTTAGTACATTTTTCTATGGTTTGATTTTATCGAAATAATTATGTTTGCTCATCTGGAGGCGTGCAGCATTAAAGTGCAGTTCGCAACAAAAAATTCATTTCGTAAAAAGAATTAACTCAGAAAAAATGTTTTATTGTTTACGAAAATCTTGGCACTTATTACATAATGAGTCATTCAAGGTCCAATATATTTTGGAATAACGTTAATCCCCTGCTCCTTATTGAAACCGGAATTAAGCCTGAAACCAATGGGGAAAAGTTGATTCAGGACGCGAAATAGATATTTCATTTCAGGAACTCTAAGCATAAGTCGCTCACTCGTTTTTTACCTACAAATCATCAGTTCAAAAACATATCACACTGCCTTGAGTTACAAATGAACTTTACATCATAAATAATTGAGACTATTGAGAAAGAAGGACACTTTTTAATGACGCCTTAACAACCTGAGGATTTGGTGTTATAATGTCTTACTCAAAGACATAGCAAAGACGTCGTATTCAGTACTTTTAGCTCTTTGATATATTTCAAGTGCTAACAATACTATTTTCTTTAGAACCACACCTTTTATATTAAATAATTTTAGAAAAATTCGAAATTAAATGTGTTCGAAAATACTTGTTTATCCGATCTAATTGTCAAAACTTAGAGAATTATGGATAGTGTTAACGATACCATGGCAGATCATGACATTTTCTATATTTGTATGCTTTTTGGACAGATATATGAAAATAGGTTATTAGACATAACTTGTTTAACGTAACTAAGTAGTTTGATAGTAAAATAATGGAATGGAAAGCTCACACTTTTTGTGTGTAGAATTATAATGAATGTGAAAAAAATATTGGATGGACAGGCGGACGGACAGGCAGACAGACGGACGCACAGACATACAGATAGATGTTGTTGTTTATGTAAAATATAACACAAAGCAATAACAAGTTACATAGTGTCAGCAGGTAGATGTACCTTTTAAATACAAATTTAAATCAACGAAAAACATGTGTTGTTGAATAGATAAGCCGAAATCATAAATGTGAACTTTAAATCAAATACTGGGAAAATGTGTGAGCATTAGAATACTCAGATAAATTTTTGACATTGTCTTTGGATTAACATGATAAATGCATGAAACGATGTATTTGTGTTCCAGAAGGCACAAATGTTAAAAAAAATCAAATGGAACAAAGATAAAACAAACTGTTCTATTATCAAATCAAAAAGGTCTGAAATATTATAACGTTCTAGACACAGAAAATATTAAAGACTGAACAAAATACTTGTGTCACAGTTAGTTCCTTCATAGCCAGCATCGCAAGAACACCTGTATCTATATACATCATCTGTGCAAGTACCGCCATTTTGACATGGAGTTGAGGCACATTCATTTATATCTGAAAATTAATAATGACGGAGCAAGGAATTACTCTGATAGTCGTGAAAATATCTTTGAATTAACATGATAAATGCACAAAACGTTATGGTATTTGTCTTTCAGATGGCTCATATGTAAATTTATACAATTAGAATATGGTACACATATAAAAGACCAAAAACTGTTCTGTTATCAAACTAAAAATGTCTGAAATATTATGAGGTTGTAGTGATAGAAAACAATAACGCCTGGACAATATACTTGTTTCACAGTTAGTTCCTTCATAACCAGCATCGCAAGCACACGTGTAACTGTTTACTGCATCTGTGCAAGTACCGCCATTTTGACATGGAATATGATAAACAAGATCAACAAGGAAAGGCGGCGTTCAATGAACGCAACCGCCACACGACCCAGCAACAAGAACCAACGGCAAGGAGCCCAGGCGGACTCCAAACAAAAACAGGACAGGGCAAAGACAGAGCACGGACAAGTTTATCATTAAATGATAAATAATTTGTAACTGATTAGGAATTCAAAGAAAAGAATAATAGGCCCACAAAGGGGAAGGGGACAGGAGACCGGGGGAAGAGGGGGGGGGGAGTTGAGGCACATTCATCTATATCTGAAAATTGATGATGTCTAAGCTAATACTTAGATAGTCTAAAAACAATGTCTTTGAATAAACATGATAAATGCATGATACGTTATTTTTTGTGTTTCAGAAGGCTCATATGTTGTAGGATATTATAAGAATGGTACACATATAAAAGAAGAAAAACTGTTCTCCTCATAATCTCAAAATGTCTGACATGTTATGACGCTGTTGTCATAGAAAATAATAATGACTTGAAAAAATACTTGTTTCACAGTTAGTTCCCTCATAGCCAGCATTGCAAGAACACCAGTATCTGTTTACTACGTCTGTGCAAGTACCGCCATTTTGACATGGAGTTGAGGCACATTCATTTATATCTGAAAATATATAATGTCTGAGCGTTGAGATACTCCAATAGTCTTTCAACAATGTTTCTGAATTAACATGATACATGCATGAACCTTTGTTGGTTTTTTGTGCTTTTAAAGGCTCATATTTTGAAGGATATTTTAAGAATGATATACATATAACAAAACAAAAACTGTACTCTTATCAAACAAAAAAAGGCTGTAATATTATCACGTTGTAGACATAGAAAATAATAAAGCCTGGACAAAATACTTGTTTCACAGTTAGTTCCTTCATAGCCAGCATCGCAAGCACACGTGTAACTGTTAACTGCGTCTGTACAAGTACCGCCATTTTGACATGGAGATGAGGCACATTCATCTATATCTGAAAATTAATAATGTCTGAGCGTTGTAATATTCTGATAGTCTTCAAACAATGCCTTTGAATTAACATGATAAATGCATGAACCTTTGTTTGTTTTTTGTGCTTTTAAAGGCTCATGTTTTGAAGGATATTTTTAGAATGATTTACATACAGTATAACAAAACAAAAACCGTACTCTTATCAAACAAAAGAAGTCTGTAATATTATGAGGTTGTAGACATAGAAAATATTAAAGACTGAACAATATACTTATTTCACAGTTAGTTCCTTCATAGCCAGCATCGCAAGAACACCAGTATCTGTTTATTGAGTCTAAGCAAGTACCTCCACTTTGACATGGAGTTGATGCACATTCATTTATATCTGAAAATAAATAATGTCTGAGCGTTGAGAAACTCTGATAGTCTTTAAACAATGTTTCTGAAATAACATGATAAATGCATGAACCTTTGTTGGTTTTTTGTGCTTTTATAGGCTCATATTTTGAAGGATATTTTTAGAATGATATACATATAACAAAACAAAAACTGTACTCTTATCAAACAAAAAAGGCTAAAATATAATGATGTTGTAGGACATAAAAAATATTAAAGACTGAACAATATACCCATTTCACAGTTAGTTCCTTCATAACCAGCATCGCAAGAACACCAGTATCTGTTTACTGAGTCTAAGCAAGTACCTCAACTTCGACATGGAGTTGAGGCACATTCATTAATATCTGAAAATATATAATGTCTGAGCGTTGAGATACTCCGATAGTCTTTCAACAATGTTTCTAAATTAACATGATACATGCATGAAATATGATAAACAAGATCAACAAGGAAAGGCGGCGTTCAATGAACGCAAACCTTTGTTGGTTTTTTGTGCTTTTAAAGGCTCATATTTTGAAGGATATTTTTAGAATGATATACATATAACAAAACAAAAAACTGTACTCTTATCAAACAAAAAAAGGCTGTAATATTATGAGGTTGTAGACATAGTAAATATTAAAGACTGAACAATATACTTGTTTCACAGTTAGTTCCTTCATAGCCAGCATCGCAAGAACACACGTATCTGTTAAGTATGTCTGTGCAAGTACCGCCATTTTGACATGGAGTTGAGGCACATTTATTTATATCTGAAAATAAATAATGTCTGAGCGTTGAGATATTCTGATAGTCTTTAAACAATGTTTCTGAATTAACATGATACATGCATGAACCTTTGTTTGTTTTTTGTGCTTTTAAAGGCTCATATTTTGAAGGATATTTTTAGAATGATATACATACAGTATAACAAAACAAAAACCGTACTCTTATCAAACAAAAAAAAGGCTGTAATATTATGAGGTTGTAGACATAGTAAATATTAAAGACTGAACAATATACTTGTTTCACAGTTAGTTCCTTCATAGCCAGCATCGCAAGAACACACGTATCTGTTAACTATGTCTGTGCAAGTACCGCCATTTTGACATGGAGCTGAGGCACATTCATTTATATCTGAAAATAAATAATGTCTGAGCGTTGAGATATTCTGATAGTCTTTAAACAATGTTTCTGAAATAACATGATAAATGCATGAACCTTTGTTGGTTTTTTGTGCCTTTAAAGGCTCATATTTTGAAGGATATTTTTAGAATGATATACATATAACAAAACAAAAACTGTACTCTTATCAAACAAAAAAATGTCTGAAATATTATGATGTTGTAGACATAAAAAATATTAAAGACTGAACAATATACCTATTTCACAGTTAGTTCCTTCATAACCAGCATCGCAAGAACACCAGTATCTGTTTACTGAGTCTAAGCAAGTACCTCCACTTCGACATGGAGTTGAGGCACATTCATTTATATCTGAAAATAAATAATGTCTGAGCGTTGAGATACTCTGATAGTCTTTATACAATGTTTCTGAATTAACATGATACATGCATGAACCTTTGTTGGTTTTTTGTGCTTTTAAAGGCTCATATTTTGAAGGATATTTTTAGAATGATATACATATAACAAAACAAAAAACTGTACTCTTATCAAACAAAAAAAGGCTGTAATATTATGAGGTTGTAGACATAGTAAATATTAAAGACTGAACAATATACCTATTTCACAGTTAGTTCCTTCATAGCCAGCATCGCAAGAACACACGTATCTGTTAACTGCGTCTGTGCAAGTACCGCCATTTTGACATGGATTTGAGGCACATTCATTTATATCTGAAAATAAATAATGTCTGAGCGTTGAGATATTCTGATAGTCTTTAAACAATGTTTCTGAATTAACATGATACATGCATGAACCTTTGTTTGTTTTTTGTGCTTTTAAAGGCTCATATTTTGAAGGATATTTTTAGAATGATATACATACAGTATAACAAAACAAAAACCGTACTCTTATCAAACAAAAAAAAAGGCTGTAATATTATGAGGTTGTAGACATAGTAAATATTAAAGACTGAACAATATACTTGTTTCACAGTTAGTTCCTTCATAGCCAGCATCGCAAGAACACACGTATCTGTTAACTATGTCTGTGCAAGTACCGCCATTTTGACATGGATTTGAGGCACATTCATTTATATCTGAAAATAAATAATGTCTGAGCGTTGAGATATTCTGATAGTCTTTAAACAATGTTTCTGAAATAACATGATAAATGCCATGAACCTTTGTTGGTTTTTTGTGCCTTTAAAGGCTCATATTTTGAAGGATATTTTTTAGAATGATATACATATAACAAAACAAAAAACTGTACTCTTATCAAACAAAAAAATGTCTGAAATATTATGATGTTGTAGACATAAAAATATTAAAGACTGAACAATATACCTATTTCAACAGTTAGTTCCTTCATAACCAGCATCGCAAGAACACACGTATTCTGTTTAACTGAGTCTAAGCAAGTACCTCCACTTCGACATGGAGTTGAGGCACATTCATTTATATCTGAAAATAAATAATGTCTGGAGCGTTGAGATACTCCGATAGTCTTTATAACAATGTTTCTGAATTAACATGATACATGCATGAACCTTTGTTGGTTTTTTGTGCTTTTAAAGGCTCATATTTTGAAGGATATTTTTAGAATGATATACATATAACAAAACAAAAACTGTACTCTTATCAAACAAAAAAATGTCTGAAATATTATGATGTTGTAGACATAAAAAATATTAAAGACTGAACAATATACCTATTTCACAGTTAGTTCCTTCATAGCCAGCATCGCAAGAACACCAGTATCTGTTTACTGCGTCTGTGCAAGTAGCGCCATTTTTACATGGAATTGAGGCACATTCATCTATATCTGAAATATAATAATGTCTGAGGTTTGAGATACTCTGATTGTCTTAAAACATGGTTTGAATTGACATGATAAATGCATGAAACGTGATTGTATTTGTGTTTCAGAAGGCTCATTTATTGAAAGATATTATTAATATGGTACAATAATAAAGATCAAAAACTAAAACTGTTCCCTTATCAAACTAAAGATGTCTGAAATATTATGATGTTGTATGAGGCTAATTTGTTGAAGGATATCATTAGAATGGTACAATTATAAAAGAACATATAAGAAAGATTATGGAAAAAAATGTTGGTTTATTGTAAAACCTATCTGAAATAGCATAAAGTTCTAGACATAGAAAAAATTAAAGGCTAGACAGTATACCTGTTTCACAGTTAGTTCCTTCCTGGCAAGCATCGCAAACACACGTGTAACTGTTTACTTCATCTGTGCCAGTACCGCCATTTTGACATGGACTTGAGGAACATATTTAATCATTTCAATGCTCACACATTTGTTTCTTAAGATAAAGATGAATGTGCCTCAACTCAATGTCAAAATGGCGGTACTTGCACAAATGAGGTTAACAGCCACAGTGTGTTTGCGATAATGGTTATTAGGGAACTTACTGTGAAACAAGTATTGTGTCCGGTTTTTATTGTTTTCTATGTCTACAACGTAATAAATAATAGTTCTCTAGTTCAAAAAGTATTGGTATTGAGCAAAAAGCATTTGCCTTGGCCATTATCAGATAAATAATTGTCAGGGAACTGCTAATTAATTAAAGACATTACTTTTATGCAAATTTAAAAGGATAAAAGAATAAAAGTTCTACAAGATTATTACTTTAAAAGACATAGTGAGCATATTAGTATTTGTAGAACGGGTCAAGCCTCTCAGTAAAGATGTTAATACTGGGACTAGACTGATCAGTTAAAAGAAGGCTATTCTAAAGACGTATGCTCCTACGAAAGAAAGAATTCTGATGGTATTTGTCCTCGAGTGGGGTATCAGGTAGTTCAGATTTATTGTTTGAGTAAGGTGTCGGTCAACAAAGACAATGTTGTTTTGGATTTCATATAAAAAGGATACAACACTGATGTTTCGACGCTGCTCAAGGGTGTGCCAATTAAGTTCAGCTAGCATTTTTGAGACACTACTTGTATAGTCATAATCATTCAAAATATGTCTGGCAGCTGATCTGCTGTTCTGTCTCATCAATTAAGTATTTCTGAATGCCAAACTATGTAGCAACATTCAACCTGAGGTCTAACATAGGTCTTATACATGCATATGCAGTTTTCTTTAACTTTTTATCTAGGGTTTTAACATTTCTTCTAATGAATCTAAGGAAGTTATTTGCTTTAGATGTAATATTGCTTATATGTTTGATCCATGTAAGGTCTTGACTTATAGTAACTCCTTAGTATTTTGCTTCTTGGGTTGAGTTAGGGTTTCTTTTTCATTTAATTCTAAGAACTTCACATTTGTCAGGGTTTAAACTTCATGGACCATTCTTTTTTCCCATATTTCTAATGCATGTTAGTCATCTTGAATGGTTTTGGCATCTTGTTTGGATCTGATTGTTAGGTAGACAACAGTTTCATCCGCAAAAAAGTCTAACCTTACATTTGACACTATCGGGATGGTCATTTATATAGGAAATGAAGAGGCAGGGACCTAATACCTAGCCTTTTGGGACACCTGGGAGGACTTGTAGAATTCCTGATTTTTGACCTTCAACTATTACTTGCTCGGAGGGAGACTTAAGGAAGGAAAGGACCTAATTTGTAACCTCGTGGCTTATGCCAAATCTTTACAATTTACTCACAAGTTTGTGATAGCCCACCTTATCAAATGCCTTACTGAAATCTATGACTTTGACATCAGTTTGTTGGCCACTTCCAAGATTGTCATGAATTTTCTAGGATAAGCGTACTAGCTGAGACTAACAACATCGTTTTGACCTGAAGCCATGTTGATTGGGTGTTAAGTATGTTGTGCTTATCATAAAAGGACATACTATCGGATGTGCACGATATGGCATGTGAAGGAGATTGGACTATAATAGCTGGGTTTGAATTTTAAATACTTGCATCCCTTTTATAACTGTCATTACTTCATTTGCATACACCCTTCTATATTTATTATGACGTTATAAGAATTATGGACTGGGTAAACGGTCTGTATGCGATTTATCGACTGGAGGATGTCAAATTAGATATAGAAGGATCTCAGATCTCTGTTTATTGACCAACATAAAACAAAATGATCTTTGTTTTCAATTAAATTTAGACAAGATATTTAACAACGTCTTTTTATTCTATCAACAATGTTATATTTACCAGATTATACCTCAAGACCATGACAGGTAAGTCGTATAAAATCAGTTTTATAATAATAATAGTATTACAATTTCGGCAGAGCCAAACAACCGTTTTGCCAGTCTTGGATAAATTGGTCTGATTTAAGAAAACCTTAAATGATCAGCGATAGAATTCATTCTGGTATGCTGCCTAACATATACCGTTAACATTGGTACATTGATTTGTATACATATTATACATTGTATATAGGTAAAATATCTTTTCATCATTTTAAGCAAATATTTAACAGGTCGTTCTTTAGATATAACTTTCAAAGGAAACCAGCCCAGCTCACCATTAACAACAGTTGTTGGTCTACAGAATCTAAGATATAGCTTGTCTACATCCTTATAATTATATATCCCCATACTTCACATACATATGTTAGAATTGGCACAATCACGGCATCATACAGAGATAACTCCGTGCAAAATAAAGTTTAACTTTGTTAAATATAATTAAAGATCATGTAGCAATTTAAGGGCATTAAGCATGTTACCTGTATTTCAGAATTCGACACCTATATATACCAAGTGATTAACTCATTAAGTCATTATCGACATAAAACGAAACATATTCATGTTTTTTTCTCTTCTTAAAGACACGGACGTTTGTTTTATCAACATGCATTTTAGACCCCATTTTAATAAAAAAAAATGATGAATAGCGTCGATTTGAGATTGTAAGAAAACAGAGTCTGTAGTAAATACAACAATATCATCTGTATACAATATTATGTACATGGATTAAAGCTCATAACACTTTCCTGTAAATGAATTTAAAAACTAAAGTTTTTAACAACACCATTTATTAAAAGTATAAATAGTAAGGGGGGTTATGATTTTTCTGTTTAAGTTCTATAGTTACATTAAAAAATTCACACATTTTCATGTTTTAAGACTTTTTAACAGCAGATTGAACATTGGAATATATACATGTAATCATGTTTGTCATTTTACAGCTGATACCTGATTTTCATTAAGCATTTCTTTTTTAAAACTCGCTGATAATCGATAAAAAAAAATATCGCTCACATTTAAAAGAAAAATCATTTAAAAAGTACAAAGATAATGGAGCAAAATGTGTTTTATTAAGATAAATTATTCGTGCTTCTGGAGATGTAGATGCAAAAAGGTGCAATATTAAATTTTTTTTTCTATGCAACTGTATGCGAAAATTAATTCATTTCTTAACTTTAATTAAATATTAAGTCTCTTTATTTAACGTTTGTTCATTTTTGCCCTAAACATTACTTTGACATTACTGGTGTACATCTTCAGCGTTGTTTTCACATGTTTGCGTTATATTTATACACATTGATAATAATGCTGTTTATAGTGACTTAAATCTTTTACAGATTTCACTTTTCATAAAAAATAGTTCGTTTAACTTGAAAATCAAATAGCTGCACATTCAAAACTGATTAAAAATCATAACAATACTTGTTTCACAATTGGTTCCTTCGTAGCCGGCTACACACGTACACACGTCACTTGAACAGGTTCCTCCGTTCTCACAACCTGATGTAGTGCACTCAGCTAACAAGAACAAAGGAAAAAATATATAAATCATGTTATTTCGTTCATTAAAATTACAATCAATTTACATAAATGTGAGTAAGAAAAATTTGAGAAAAGCTCATTCAACGTTTCTTTGTTCATACAAGCGATTTTAGCCCTTAATGCCCTTAATAGAATTTCTTAGTTTAAACAGCTTAACAGCTTAGTTAAACACAGCCAACGGTTTAAACTCTGTTTTAACTACATGTATGCGTGTCTTATATCCAATCATAGAGTTAAGCCGATATGCTTATCATCTCTTTCAACATATATCATTTCCTTTACCATAGAAAAAAAAAATGTTTCAACAAATTATAAGAAAAGAATAAGGTAAGTTAAAAAAAATGTTACGAATAGCCGTTCAGCCGGGTATTCGAAATGTGCGTGCGTGTGTGCGTCAAATTGACCCCTCCCTGAACAATAGAGCTCATGCTTCTTTTTTTAATAAAAATAGTCTCAATATATATTATCCTGCAGGAATCTGCGCACTATAGTTGAGCTATGTACACGAAGTATAGTTTTTCAATGTAAAAAAAGGTAACCAGACAAGCAACTCGTAGTGGCTACAGACAGGCAGTGTAAAGGAAGAAATGTTCAAATCTTGTTAATTGTATAAGGTCACCGTCCAGGAACACGGACAGTAATCTAAACGTATTTACCCTAAAGGTGCATGACTGTTAGCAATTAAAAAAATATGAAAAGTTCATTTTTTTTATATTTAAAAAAAAGATGAAAAGATAATGACTTTGTACGAAAGCGCATGACAATAAAGCAATATTACAATAGATTGGATATAACATACATAAAGCTAGAATAACTATTCTTGCATCTCAGACAGGAATATCTACCGTTTACACCGGTGCTAGAAAACTCTGTCTGACACCCCCATGTAAGACAAGTCGCATGCTTTAAATGACGTCATTGACATGCGACTTTTATGAATGGATAGCGTTCTTAGGATGACGTCATTTTTCCGTTATGAATGAAGTTGTATGTTCATACGCTACTATAAGAAAAAAGTGCGTAATGAGAATATCAGTTTTCATAATTTCTGTTCCGAAAGAGATTGACATGTAATATTCAAGAAAAGGAATCAGATTCCGGCTGTTGGCACAGACGGGAATATCTAGCTCTCGGGAAACTGTTTAGCGGAAACTCGGCAGAGCCTTGTTACAGCTGTAAACAGTTACCCTCGAACTAGATATTCCGGTCTGTACCGGCAGCCGGTGTAAGATTCTTATATTACGTATAATTATCACAATTCATTAGAAAGAAAATAACACTATTTTTGTAACAAACTCATATAAAACAGAGCAGTTGGTAAATATTTTAAACTGATCATGTTTAAAAGGTGAGAAATTAATGAAAATAATGTGATAACTTTAGATATGTGGTATGTAGCATAACACTACAATTACTTGTAACAAGAAAATAAATTCATCTCCTATTTGTGTTACAAATAACTTTTAGCTCTAGAATTAGGACAACATTGCATCATAGTATCAATCTTTCTGCAGGGTCAGTTGTAGTTCAGTGGAAATAAAATAAGCCTTAAGAAAGATTACAATTGTTTCCTGTATCTTACTAACAAAAATGAGTTTGTATGCTAATTTTCAATTTTAAAATTTGTTAAAAATTGTTGATTTTTCCCCATTTTTTGTAGATTTGGATTCAATCTTGGCGAAAGCACATTTCAATCAATTGAGCAGTTACTGATATTTTTGAAACAATTTGAATTACTTTCTTGTTTTTTATGTACGGACTTGGAATTTGTAATTTTTGATGCAAACATGAATTTTGATATCAACAAATCTACTTTTTTGATGAACAAACCTTGAATTTGGACAAAGGGTGTTAATTCTGATCCTGATTGAAATTTTGATGTCAATTGGCCTACTTTTGATATTTTTGATATTGCTTTACCCATTATCTTGTGTTTTTTTTTACATACAGACTTTAAACTACAAACATCTACACGTTACATATTTTGCATGTTACTTAAACAACCGAACAAAACCATTCGGTCAATTTTGATAGGAGAAAACCCAAGGATCATTGGTGTTGATTCTAAAACATCCAGTTATTGGATTCATTGCAATAATAAATAAACATCAACTTGGCGAAATTGACGTATTGCAATTCTTGCCCGCTATGGATTTAATCCTTATAAGTAATCACAATTAAAATTATCGACATAAACATTTAAAAAGTAATTTACATCATTTTAAATTGCATGTGATATAGTTACAGCTTTCATTTTATTCAGACACATTACAATTTAGGATTCAAAAAATTAGTGTTTTTTTTAAATAAAAGGGTTCTACAATTTATTTTAAAAAGGTTAAGAACACCGAACCAGTTCATGTAAATCTATTTTACCTGTCACGTGTATGTTCCCTATATGCCCGCATATTGCAAATATCAGTATAAACGTTTTCCCCATGTTGGTGTGTGTTCTGAAAAATATAAACTAAAATAAATAAAATCTTGACAAGAAATAAGAACAATTGTGAAAAATTTATTGCTTGGTGGTGTTTAATGTGTCATTGTTTTTATTTTAATGAGTGAATGTAGCAAACAATAACTGTTCAACGAAATGTTATTCTTAGAGACAGTTTATGGACAAAACTGATATCCGATAATATAAGTAAAAGAAGTACATAAAACTACACAGAAAAAATACCACCATTTAAGTTTCATCTGTTACATCTGCACAGTTCCAGCTCCATAACAGGTCAGTGGACATCATATTCACGTACCTTCTTTAATATTTGATCGTGTATAACAAACTAAAGCAAGTTTATTTTCACAATTTACGCATTAAACTATCAGTAATTACCTTAGTATTACCCCAACAAAGTCCTGTATCACACAGTTGTAAAAGTTAGCAAGTGCGATCTCAAACCCGAGGTGATATACATAAATCACTATGTAAATTAATGAAAGTTCATGATAACGATAATTTTCTTTATCAAAACCTCAATGGATCCTTCAAAGTAAATCTCCTTCAGGCATATTATGTGTCCTGATTAAATAACACCCTCCTAGGATATATTCCCCGGGGAATATTTCTTATATCTCACAGGGACACATAACTCTTGCATAACTCCATATTCAGAAAAAAAATACAATAATGTTGTGGGTGTAAGGGAGATAACACCAACATACCTCCGTATTTAATTTTTTACTAGTTTATCCCCTTCTACAATTTTTTCTATTTTTAGTCAATATTAAGCGTTTGTTGATCAAAAGACAATTTGCCACCATATTGTTTACAGCTGTTCAGTAATGAAAAAATGTCGTTTGCCAACATTTTTGATGCTGATTTAGCTAGACTTGATGCTGATAAGGACTCATTAAGTAGTAGTTGTAGGTCTTTCGGTATAATAAAAAGAAGAACACATGGCTGTCGGGGTGAAAGAGGATACTGTCAAACCGAGAACTGGTATAATAACCGTGAGTTAGGTCTCAAACAATGGCAACGGTAGGATTTGAACCACAGACCTTTCAGATTTCAATCAATCACCTAACCGACTTTGCTCTTGCGGACGTGACGACGACAAATACATTAACTTTGTGTGACTTCAAAACATAAGTTATATACTCCATTTTTTTGTAAACTTTTACATGGATAGAAACGAAGTTGGGCCGAATGTTTAAATATTAAGTGCTTTAATGTATTCATAATTGTCAGGCTATGTAAATGAGTATGACTGACCAATCGGTCAACAAAATTAGTTAAGTATCAGTGAAAAGGGCGGCGGAAATTACCGATCGTTGTACGGAAAAAACTACTTTCTAAAAAAATATTTTTTCCTTCATATTAGGACAACTTAAAACTCTTTTTTTGTGTTTGTTGTAAACTACGTATCGAAATCTATTTAAAACAGAAAAACATATAATTTTGGCCATAGACCATAGACATTATCCATGACTTTCCTGTAGATTGTAATTTAAATCACTTATGATTACAATATTAATGTCATTTCAAATCAAAACAACTCTTGTTACAAAGAACACACTATGAAATTAATTTACATTCTAAAAGGAGTGATACCAACTCCTAGAAACTTTACTTAATGCATTCCAGGGTTACAAAGCGTAATACAAATGGCTTTTTCTAAATGGAAATTATCTGAGAAGGTACAATATATATTTTTGTTTGCATAATTAGGAAAACTTGTCAGTCGCCGATGGTTGTCTCTTGTTATATCTTTGTCATTCATTCATGGATGCTTTTTTCAAATAACTGGGCTGACTGGGAATATAAGGAAATATGTGTTGATATTTCTATATTTCTTAGTTTTTGACACTCTTTTTATAGTAACCATGCCAGTGATATATTGATATTTTCCGTTCTTACATTCTTTTCATATAATGCTAAAATAATATCTTACATACACTACCGCCTCAAGTTTGATTCATGTCAGTTCATAAAATTTAATTAACAAACCGGTGCCTATTAGTAAGCAGCGTAATAAAATAGAGAAAAACAGAATCCCTAATAGTGCTGCAAATTTGTTAAGCTTAGGAACACCTAACTGGTCCCCGATCATAAACAGAGGGTTTCATATACCAAAATGTTCGGTTGAGTCCCTAGATTACGAAATTGAATTTCATTTTCCCCGAAAGTGCTGGCGGACTAAGAAATTCAAGATGGCGTCCAAGATGGCCGCCAAAAATATGAAAATTATAATTTACTTTATATTACTTGAATTTTGGCAGTTAAAACTTAGCAATAAGTTCTTTCTTTTCATTCTTGTATTAATTGTGTTCCTTAAATGCAGTTTTAATATGTATTTTAAGGTAATTATATTTTTTGATGATAAAAACAAAAAATAATTACGAAAAATATACGGGAAAAAATTTGATTTTAAAAATACTTGATACAATTTCTTATTTTTTCTCTCTTTTTAATAAAAAAATAATTATAATGACTGATTTTAAAGAAAACAACATGTTAAGCTCGACTTTAAAAAAAATATAATAAAAAATAGATAAAATAAAAAAAAAATAATTAAAAGAATAGAGGTATTGTTACAGTCATGTCGGTGTTGACGTTTCCGTCAGCAAACTTTAACTGTGATCATTACTTTTAATCTTTTTTATGTTTTGTCTTCATACTTGGCCACAACAACCTTGGGGCAATATCTTTAAGTAGACAAGACTAAATTTGACCTTCATTCATTAACGACCTTGACCTCCAAGGTCAAATGTCTAAATTTTGCTTATTTTTTCTCTGATTTTTGCTATTAGATAACTTTGTTATTTTCTAATGGATTGTCTTCAAACTTGTACATAATAATATTTTTAGGATATACCTTCGAGTTAAGCAGACAGACCTTGATCTTCACTCATAAATAACATTGACCTTGAAGGTCAAATTATAGAAAATTTATTTTTATTTATTTTTTTTGTGTGTGTGTGGGGGGGGGGGGGCTGTAACTGGCTATAACTTTGTTAATGATAAATGGATTCACTTCATATTATAACACTACATTCTTTAGGATATGACTTTCATGTATAAATTTAAATTGACCTTGGCTTTTTATGACATTGACCTTGAAGGTAAAATAATTGAATTTCCACTGATATTTGCTACAATTGGCTGTATCATGGTAATTAATTTATGGATTATCTTCATACATTGACAAAACAACACTTTGGACAAGACACACTATCCCAAAAAAATGTAATTAAATGAAATAAAAGGTGGAACTGACTTTGAACTTGAACTTTAAATAATCTTGACTGTGAAAGTAAAATTTTTAAATGGTCATAATTTTGTTTTAATGTACGGATTTCATTTATACACAACTTGTTACCAATATAGATATTGAATAATTAAGATTTGGCCTCTACCTTAAGTTGAGCATGACTGTTAATGTCAAATTAATGAAATTCTCTTGTTTCATTTTTGGTCTTGTAACTGGCTATAACTTTGTTATTTATAAAATGATAACCTTTATTTCCAGACATTTTAGGTCAGGACCTTTATGTATATTAAATTAAAATTTACTTTAACTCATAAATAACCTTGACCTTGAAGAAAATTTATTGAATATTAACAGATTATCAAATAATTGGCTGTAACTTGGTAATTAATCAATGGATTATTTCATACTTGGACAAAACAACCTTTTGGACAAGACCTTCTAAAAGGTTGAACTTACTTTAACCTTTAAATGACCTTGACCACCATGGTCAAAGTATTAAATTTTGGCGGTGGCTCTTGTTAAATTCAAAATCTAACATTAAAAATTTTCATTTAATTACATTTTGGGATAGTGTGTATTTTTAAGTGGGGTATGGGGAATGATTAATTTATTTAAATTTCAAAATACTGCAAGTATCCTAATATAACCTTTTTTTGACAACTTAAAAGACTTACATCTATTTATCTTAAATTTTAGAGTCATTGCTGTATAGACAATGCACTAATTGTTAAATATGAGAATATAGGTATAATTTCAATTTTAAAATGCTTAAAATTTAAACAGCAAATCTGTTTACACGTTCTTATTTCTTTTCCCTTCTTCATGAACTTTTACACATATCTTTCTAACATATAAAGTTAGTAAATTTTAGAACCAATATTTAGTTTGTTTGTTTGATTGGGGTTTACGTCACAGTTTATATGGCGATGTTCAACTTTACTGTAATATGAAGACCTCAGGTGCCCTTCCGTGCATTATTTCAGACACAAACGGGCACCTAAGTAGAACCACCCACGTTGCGTAAGCTAGCTGGATAGCTTCCTCACATGAAAGAATCCAAAGTCCCTATCGGGATTTGAACCCACAGCGGTGAGGAACAAAAATTTTGAAGGCCACGACCACTCGGCCACGGACGCCCCACACTCAAATATTAAGATTTTAGCTTTTCTTTTCATATGTTATACACTAAATTGTCTATCAATATTTGTTACTGAATGAGTTGGATAGAAAATACTATATTTTACGATGTTGCAAATTTATAAGTTTCGAAAATGCAATAAAATTAAAATTTTAATATGTTGAAATGATTAATAACTGTAATAAAATAGTATAGGATGAATTGACATTAATTTCCATGAAAAGTTAATTATTGAGGTTAACTATTTAAAATATGATAGAATATATTATATCTATCGAAGAAAGACCATCGGAATATCTGTCTCTCTGAAACCGCCCATGAGCTACCATGCAACTCTGTGGACTTTGTTAGGTAACCTTAGGACGGATATTACAGTCCGAACTGCTGCATGTTACAGATATTATCATTCTGAAATGCACTTGCTGTGCTTACTTTTATATAACAATTGTTGGTCATTGTCGAAATATGAAAAATATACTATAAATTTTAAAAATAGATTTTGCACTATGAGCACAATGATTACTTATAGCAGACATGCATAAAGGGATGCAATTTTTTGCGGATTAAATTAAATTAATATCCATAGAGTTAAATCTTAAAG